CGACGTGTTTGAAATATACAGACTTTAGTGAAGGTGAAAAATGGCGTGTTTGAAACATACAGACTTTAGTGAAGGTGAAAAATAGCGTGTTTGAAACATGCAGATGTAGTGAAACATAACATGTTACGATTGTAGTGAAGGAGAAAAATGACACATCAGAAATTATAGTAATAGTGTAAAATTGCACATCCGAAACATGTTGATTATAGTGAAGGAAAAAATGTAACATTCAAACCATGTAAATGGTAGTGAAAAAAATGTCCAGTCATTTCAAACATATTCATTGCAGGAACTGTTACAATAACAGTATTATCACTACATGATTAGTAATTAGCGATACTATCAAAGTAGTAATAAAGCCCGCAGTTGGTGCTAATAATACAAAGAAACACCATTACCACTTTTGACATGACGTTTTATTTTGTTGTGGTTACTGTATGAACTATGTGAAAACAAACAAATGTTTAGTCTATATATGAGCCGCGTCATGACGAAACCAACATAATGGGTTTGCGACCAGCATGGATCCAGACCAGCCTGCGCATCCGCGCAGTCTGATCAGGATCCATGCTGTTCGCTATCAGTTTCTCTACTTGTTATAGAGTTTGTAAGCGAACAGCATGGATCCTGATCAGACTGCGCGGATGCGCAGGCTGGTCTGGATCCATGCTGGTCGCAAACCCATTATGTTGATTTTGTCATGTCGCGGCTCATATGTAATTATTTCTGATGAGTTATACGAAGTTTTCAGTTATAAGTCGGACCTGTCGCCAAACGTTTACAGTATTAGCGACGGCGGGGGCGTCTTATCTGTGATACCAGTATAGAGCCCGACCAGCCTGCACATCCATGCAGTCTGAACAGGTATAAGTTTGATTGCTGCTTGTTTCTAAAACTGAATTTAATTAATTAAACAACTCACTATTTCAAAATTAAAATGAAAAACGTCACAGTGATAATTTTTAAGTCTAAGACTTAAATTAGCAAATTATATGTCTAAAGTTTTGCTTTGGGGCTTTGTCTTTTTTTTTAATTGAATATGAGAATATTTCCTTAAATCTTTATCATATTTTTATATTCATCTAATTCAATATTATTCACTTAATTCATAATATTTTGTCTCCGGATTATTGTCCTTCAGCTTTTATGGTGATGTAATCTAATAATACATCTTCATAAAGGACGACATGTTATATCCAATTAATCTTGTATTTACAATTAATTCATAATTGAACATTGTCTCACATGAAATAACTGAACAATTTGCAAAGATGAAGAATTATTAAAAAGATGATTTTTCAATACTCATGTTTCTTGGTGAGATACCGCATGATTTTTAACATTTTGAATTTATTTTAATGTTGTTGTTTTTTTTGTTGGTGTTGTTTGTTTGGGTTTTTTGCTGTTGTTTTTTTATTTTTTTTTTTTTTGTTCTTGTTGTTTTCAAGTTATGCTTCTAAATACATGTTTTTCCCAACTTTATTAATTTCCCTCCAAGCTTTAGAATAGAGTTTATACAGTAAAATATTTCGGAAATAAGCTACTTTCAATGTGACTTATCTTTATCATTTCACACCTCGTAAAATTTAACCAATGAATTAGCAGCGTTTAAACCACGTGATTTCCAATACAAATCATCATCGGATTTAATCCTATCAATTTATTCCCGTTTTTGTATTCCATAGTTCAAAAAATCAATATCAAATCCATATCATACTCCATTAAGTTTTCCTTTCATTTTCGGAGTCCAAAATATATTTGAACCGCGTCACGACAAAACCAACAAAATGGGTTTGCGACCAGCATGGATCCAGATCAGCCTGCACATCCGCGCAGTCTGATCAGGATCCATGCTGTTCGCTATCAGTTTCTCTACTTGTTATAGGGTTTGTTAGCGAACAGCATGGATCCTGATCAGACTGCGCGGATGTGTCAATGCTGGTCACAAACGCATTATGTTGGTTTTGTCGTGACGCGGCGCATTTATCAAATGCATACCGCATTCCACCTTGCCTCATATTTCATTTCAGGGTCAAATTTTCATATTAAGTCCTTATTGTACTTGAAGTAACAAAGTTCTGTCAAAACAGAATAAAGAGGTCACCATACATTATTAAGAACAATACTGGATATATTGGACTCGTACACAGCTTCCTCTTCTAGCGATTCGTTTAATACAGGTTTGGCAGATGTGTACTTGTCCAGTATAATTCAGTTTTGTACTTTATGAAGTTTTGAATATTGATTTTTTTGCTTACAATTTATTACGCTGCTGAATATTACAACTCTACATAGTATCAATAAACGGTATCAGGAGATTGTTTTATAAGGAATGTTGAACAATACAGCGCATGATACATGAATTAAATACTTTTCTTCTGTAATTTGGAACTTTAATAAAAATGATTACCCAGCAGTGCATTGCGTAAGTATGTTTAAAAAATTCTCCAAACACGTCGAAGATATGGTTACGCCTTTTGTATGAGACATCCTTTATACATAGCCAAAATGTTGAATTAAAGAAATGCAAAGTGAACCATCGTATCCATATTTGAAATATTTGGATGAAAAAGATGTTCATTCATGTTCACAATTGAACAATTTCAAAAATGCAAAATATGTTTTGTTTCGAAAGATCAACTGCCGATTAAGACTATATGTCTTTCATTTCACAAGTCTGGTCGCTATAGACAGGTTTTAACGTAGACTGAAGTCCCAGTATCAAGATCAAAGATTTTAAGATCTTATTGTTTATATAGAACTTACTTAATTGAATACCTTATATCAACATTTTGATGTAAATGTAGATATTTATGAATTAAAATTAAAATTTATGTACTGTAGACTTTAATTTAAATAAAAATGACACATATGTTTTTGTTGTTGTTGTTTCTTTTTGGATGGACGAAGTTGTTATTTTTCTTTTTCACTGTTCGTTTTTTTCTTCTTCCTCTTCTTTTTTCTTTTCTTTTTTTTTTTTGAACTTTTTTTTTGCCAATTTGAAAATGAGAAATTTTATTATGACAGATATTGGTAATTTAAAATGACCATTTTTTGTAGGTTTTAAAGGATTCACATCAGCTTATTAATTATTTATAACGTTTAAAAATCTTGATAAATGACGATCTTTACCATGTTGTTACCTTTCTCCATTTCATATTCTCCATCAAATGATAGAACTAGAATAAAAGTTTATTAATATTATTTTTTCCATTATTTTTATGGAGAAGAAGAACAACCAAGGAAATCAAAATAAATGCCTCTTTAAAATAACTATCAAACCGTTTTGAGCTATTGACATTGGGAATGAACTGCAGACGATAAAATTAACTACATGCGTCCTTTGAGTCTTAGACCTGAACATACTTCAATACAGTCCAATAAACTTTCGAGTGCAGAACAATGTTAATCAATTAAATCATTTTCTTTATTAGTTTTAATACTCAACAGATGCTTGTGTCTGCTTTGCATTTATTTGCTTTTTTGTTGTTTTAATGGATTTTTCTAAATCCGGGGCTTTTATACTTTGCAGATGGAAATTTATATGCTATTGATAGCTATTTTCTAAGACTGTATGAGATCTGTCTATGACATTAAGGAGAAATTCCGCTTTTAACGAATATACTGAAAAAAAATGAATTCTGGTTGTTATTTTTCCAAGCGGAAGAGTGGGTGGAAAGGGTATAGAGGTTATCAAAAATATCGGTTATTATTCGTAGTTAGTTGTGACTGTTGTCGTACTGATCCTTCAATTAGCTGTCACATTAACTCGTGACATTTTTTCAAAACATAATCGATTATTCATGATGAAAACTCATGTTCATACGTCATTAGTGAATATCAGGAGAGAAAATAGTGCGTCTATTTTTAGACCGGCGAATCAATACGGCAGCCGTAATCAATATCGTGAGTCACTCTCGCTTCAACGATTAAAACAAAACAAGATGACACACTCTTCAGAGGTCAATATCAATGATTATTGTAAAAGTATCAATACTTTCAGGATGTTAGGTTGGCTTTCACAATGAAATACTCAACTGTAGATAAAATAAAATGTGCGTTTGCCATGAATATTTTGTTAAAGCCAGAATAATTTAGTTTATGAGGCAGTATGTAACATCTGGAAAGAATTTAAAGGCGTATAAATGGCTAAAACATTCCAAAGGGGCTTTAAAAATGAAAAAATGAATATCGTTTTACAAGAACACGAATAAGTTACACTTTCCTTGATATATATAGTCCGAGAATTCGTCTCGAGTAAATAAATATTATTCATAAACATACAATCATCGGCATAATAACATTTTTGAGTCGACAGCATACTGACATACTACGACATAAAAGTAGTTCTTTTTTAAATTCGTAAACATGTTACACCAACTGACAAAGAAACGCGTGCACCTTTGATAACACGTGCACGTGGTAACCCTTCTATTTAAAAAAAACCCCAGCAAATTTGAGATTAAAGCACTTGCGGAAATTATTACTTAGAAAAAGATCACTGAGAAGTGGTTGAGGATATAAGCGAAACATTAAGTTACTTATAAAAGGTATTAACCTCTGAGTGGGTAGATATGTACAGGAAACCGCAGAAACGATTTAGTTTCCCGTAAATAATGTACTTGTGGTTAGGAATATAATCTCTATACTCTGCAAAAACATTACGCAGCACGACAGAAGTGTGAAGAACGCAGCACGAGCCCGCTATCAATAAGAGTGCACGCAGATATTAAATATTCATAAATCATATGTTTGAACTTTGAATGATTTACGAGGGTGTAGATAAATGATTCATGTAGGTGATCAATAAGACCACGTGTTTATTTTGTCTAATAATTATTAAATGTAAAATGACAAAAACCTATAACCCGTCATCTCATTCAAAGAATTATAAAGTTACAGCCTATATGATGCGTAGGAAGAGGGAAGCGTTAAAAAACGGATCAAATTCTGAGATAGTAATGACATAACATTCGCATTACAATACTGACACTACCCACCTGTCAAGAACTAGTTCTTCTAATTGGTTCAGATCACAAGCAATGTATTCCAACGCAGCGTCCGTTACACGTGGACACCACGAGAGGTCAAGGACACGCAGTTTTCGAAGATTTTCCGCGATAAGTTCAACACCATCGTCGGTAATCTTGCTACATCCTGACAAACTTAAAATGGTCAAATTTGGTAATGAATGAACGATATTCACCACGCCATGATTTGTAATTTCCCAACAAGATTGTAAACGCAAAATACATAATGTGTAGCTTTGTTTAGCGCTAAAGAACGCTAGAGCTGCATCAGTCACGTGGTAGGCTTGAAGATTAAACTCGTACAATGAGGGTAAAAGCTGGGACACGGCGCCGACAGTATCGTCTGCAACATTTATGCAATCACTGACACTCAAAGATACTATTTTTGGATTCAAACATGACCAAAGGCCAGTTTCTGTTAACTCATTGCATCCCGAAATTTCCAGACGATAAATTCCAGAAAGCCTTTTAAACAGAACTTCTAACCCTGAATCGGTCACATTTGAACACCTGAGACTTATAGAGCGAATCTGCTTTTTACAGTTTGAGAAATGGTTTACAAAATCTGCTATATCCTCGTCAGTGGCGCCAAAAAGGCAGACGGCATCAAAACTTCGTTGTTGCAAGCTTTCATAAAAAGAACGCCGCGTTTCATCTCTTTTACTTAACTCCCTACATGCAATTATAGGAATCACATTTATCCAGAATTTTGGCTGATAAAGAATATTTTTCCATGCTCTACACACTTGAGATAATTTTCCTCTTTCTTCTGCTGAGAAGAACATAAAAAACTTTGACAGAAATCTTTCATCCAGGAATAAATCCCTCACAGAAGTCGGTTGAGTCCGACCAAACAAACTACGTATTTTCCTAGCGATCAGAGGTTTCGGTGACCGCACCATCCTGCCACCTTGAGCTGACGATACCGTGGTCCCGTTTGTCGTCTGTTTACTCACAATTTCTTTTGAAGTTGTCGCCTGAGCTGGCTGTGGTTGTTCTCGATGCAATCTCAATCCACGAATGCCATTTGATATTTCCATATAGGCCTTCCTAATGGTCGACATGGTAAATTATCCGATATTTTAATTCCCTTGGCCGATAGAGAACTAATTTAGTAAACAATTAACCCCGAGCGGTAACATTGTGTCCGAGAAGGCTTGGGGACAACTCTCGGTAAAATCACATTTTTCTGATACAGCAAGTTCACGTTTACATCACACAAATACCCGGATTTTCCAATAACATTTTGTTACATCCACCGTTCACTCATTCATGCATTCGATTGCTTTTAATAACTCAGCATTTTAGCAATATAAACACTGCTGCTTCAAGAAGACTCGTGTACCAACGAGAAAATATCGATATCCTTCTGTACTATAACCTATCCCTGCCGCTAGAAATTCTGTAAATTAAGGTGAATTTTATGTATCTGTAGTAAGGAAAATCCATACTGGAAACATCTCATTCCGATGTTAGCTGTACTCTGGTTTCGTATAAGGCCGCCAAGACCACTAATACTAAATATTGAGAAGTCAATCTATCGATGGAAACCACTGGGAAGGTCTTACAGATCTTATTTAATAAGAGGGGTGATAAATCATCATAAAGCTGGCATGTTTTCCATTCCTGGCGTTCTTCCATAAAAAGAAGACGTCTGCGCGTTCTGGCCAAAAACAAAATATCTGCAAATCAATCCGATATGTTTCCGGTCAATTTACATTAATTCTCGAAAGCCAAACACATTTTTTATATAAATATTTAATAGTATCATCACCAACAGTCAGACTTAAAATGTCGTCTGCACAGTACTTTCCGAATATTTTTATCAATGGGAAATTTTTACAATTGAATATCAAAACCACAAGAATTAAAAAAAAATTATCGCTATCTATCGTATGTTACTGTTATACTTAAAAAATACACAACCAGCAAAATTTTACAAGCTTTTTCCTCAACATAATTAACTGAAGTGCACTTTCCACGAATCCGTATACATGTAAAATGTCCGTGTTTAACCTTTCTTAGAAACAATGACATTAAAGAGAAATATTGACATGCTTTCAAAGTTTCTTAGAGAACATTCAATGTAATTTGGATATTTCAATTGAATTTGTAATAATGTATTTGACAAGCGGGACCTTTATCTCACAACCGAGACCATGGAGACGTTAGCCATTATTGAGAGTTCCGAAGTTTTGCCTTTCAAAATTGATTTCCAGTAATGGACGGAAGATAGCTTACATATAAATCTGTCGGAAATCTTACACTCAATGCGTACTCAATACATGCTGATGAAACTTTTAAGATGAAAACTTTAAAAGAAACTCCGGTAGATTGATTAAAACCAGTAAGTATTTAATAGGTTTTTACATGATATGGCGAGATGAAGTGGAGTTTGGGTTTTTTTGTATTTGATTGTGTTTGTTGTTGTTTGTTTGTTTGCTTTGTTGTTATTGTTCTTCTTTTTTTGTTGTTGTGTCTTGGATTTGTTTTCCTTTAAGTAGCTTGGGGGCGGCAGATTGGCTGGAGGGGTAAATGTTTTCGTCCCGCGATCCATAGTTTTGATTTAGTATCATTTATGTATACTAGCATTATCTCCCATGTTAAATATTACAGCACGGACCTAAAGTCGCGTTAAACAACTCTTTTGTTGTTGTTGTTTTTGTTTTTGTTTTTTTTTGTTTTGTTTTTTGTTGTTTTCCTGCTGCTGCTGCTGTAATGTTTTAATAATATATTCAGTGAAAGTTTTGTAAAAGATCTTTAGCAATATGATAATAAAGCTATGTTTCTTTTGTTTCTTTCATTTACGAACATGTTTTTGCGTTACCACAAATCGTTATTTATTATCTTGTTAAAATAACCGGCTGTGCTAGCCGTGTGATTTAGAGAATATCTTGACTATCTCAGCATAAGCTTCAATGCGTAGCACAAATCCTTTCGTAAGCCGAACTGTCATAACCTAGGAACTACTTTTAGCTTTAATTAATGTCAGATTTAAGAGCTGTATTTATTAAGGCGACCAAAACGAATCAATAATTGTGTATGGTTTTACAGGAGCTTGTACTCTCCAAGTTAAAACATTTTACTTAAAACATCCTGTAATTGAACATTTGAGCCGCGTCATGACAAAACCAACATAGTGGGTTTGCGACCAGCATGGATCCAGACCAGCCTGCGCATCCGCGCAGTCTGATCAGGATCCATGCTGTTCGCTATCAGTTTCTCTACTTGTAAAAGGGTTTGTAAGCGAACAGCATGGATCCTGATCAGACTGCGCGGATGCGCAGGCTGGTCTGGATCCATGCTGGTCGCAAACCCATTATGTTGGTTTTGTCGTGACGCGGCTCATTTTTACTAAAAACATCCTGTAAATGAACATTTTATTGATTCGATATTTAATTTTCTGCTGAACGCGACATTTTCACGCGTCCATAAATTCTTTCTTATCATAGCAAAATTAATGTGAACCAATTTTGTTATTTCCGAAAATATATAGGCATCGTTGAGAAAACACTGAGATTTGCTGAGAGCTTTTTCTGCCATTAAAAGAACAAGATAAAATAGTGATGTAATTTATCAATACAAATATTGAGTTGTAACAGATAGAAAAAAGTCAGGCCCGCCTGTTAAAATAAATTCCCTTTTGGCGTTATTTTGTTGTTAGAAATTTCTACTTTTTTCGAATTTTGCGTCATTCCTTTCTTTGGGTTGATTAACGCTTTTGTGAAAATGCGTTTGTCAGCATGTTCGAGGTTTTAATTGAAACTCGTTAAAGCGTAAAAATCTGCATTTTGAAATAAAAATTATAATAAAAAACGATTTTTTAAATATTATGCGTGATCAGATTCGACCTTTAAGAAGTATCTTATGGTTTTATTTGTCACGAGTAAAGTACGCACTTAATAGCGTCAGATTTTATATAACACTGTGACTTTGAGAAACGAAAAAAGTATGCAGTATCTACTAAAAACACTTCAACTTCATGAATTTCCGATTTCATCTTCGTGAATTCACAATTCTAACTTAGTAAATTCACTTTTTCAACTTCATAAATTCAGCTTCGTGAATTCACGATTTCAAATTCACAAATTCACGATTTCAATTTCGTTTGACTTCACGGATCCACAATTTCAACTTCATGAATTCACAATTTCAACATCAAGTTTAAATCGTGAATTCGCAAAAATGAATTCGTGAAATCGTGAAATCATGAAGTTGAAATGGTGAATTTGTGAAGTTGAAATCGTAATTTGTGACTTCGCGCGAAGGTAAAATCGGGAATTCATGATGTTGAAAAGGCACCCGCCGTTTTTTCGTAAGTATTATATACGGAAATTCTTATATACGGAAAAAACATCTTTACATGTGTTACATATAATTTTATCGTTTTATATATGTATAATAATGTCTTTTTGGGGGTGGTTTGAGGTAGGAGGGACTCTATATAATTATATAGTCTAAGATGATACTGAGAACAAAATGGAACAAATACTTAATTTGCGTAGAAACTCTTAGTTAAAAACCCCTTTTTATAAACAACTTATATATGTTTACATATGGAATGTATTAATATATAAATACCAAGGTAAACATAAGCAAATGACTAGTATATTATCGTTTCTATTAAATCACTTTATTATCTTCAGTTTCATGGTTTATGTGATAAATGTTGATGTTATATGTTCAAATAACAATATTACGTAAATATTACCACTCTCAGCATAACGTTATTCCGTTATGGCCATCGACATTTTCGTATTCCATTGATAAAATCAATAAAATGTACCCGATGGCCCTAACGTGGAACCATACATACTCTTTATATTATGTATGTTAATATTCTGGTAAAGGTTAATGATAAAGTCGTTTTTTTTCTCTTTTCAATATCTAGACAGCTGGGGGCATAAAAGACACAGAGTCGTTACAAAGTAATTACACAAGAAATAAAACACGGACTACGTATTCTGTCAATGGTAATAATATCTGGAAAAAAATGTTATCATTACTGTCAATTGTGTAGAATATCATGGCCACTAGAGACTACGTACATTGTCTGTTAGAGAGTACAATACCCCTCGTCACAAATTTAAAAGTATGCGTAGCAATATTACGAAAGAAAGGTGGCATTTTGACTTTCAACTTATTGTCCTTATATGTGATATAAAATATATCGCTATCGAAGTCAAAAGTCTGATAAAGATTTCAGAAAACTTCAGAAATGTATCTTGTTACACTGCTGAAATCTAAGCAAACTTTTACGAAGAACAAAGTTCAATTATCTTTTATAAAAAGAAATCATCTTTTGGTCCAAATTTACAAATTTAAACTGTTGTTGAAAGCGTGTATCCATCATATCATCACACTTATTCATTTCTATTGTCCAAAGCATATTCAGAGATTACAAATAAAATCACTTAGAAATTTCCAGCATTATTATTAAATTTTATGACCATTCTTTTTTAACAATGATTATGACACAGATATATTTTAAAAAATCTATTTTTGATCATTCACGTACGCTCAATGACGTCGGTTCAAATCACGTACGCTCAATGGACGTCGGTTCAAATGACGTCTGTAACGTCGTAGCTTAACGTCGTTACGTTGACAACTACAGTTAGAAGATTACACACACCAGACTTATTTTTTTCGGATGACAAGTATTGAAAAGAAATAGTTAAAAGAGAAACAGCAAATTCAACATAAGTTTGACGTTTGCAGTCTTGTGGCGACCTTGTCCTGTCAGTCGGTGGATTGAGTAACAAAGTTGGGTTGCAGGACGATAGCTCAAGTTTGTATACGTTTCTAATTTAAAATTATCATTATGTTAAATCTGATATATAACGAAAATCTATATTATTGTTAGTTTAAACTTATTTTACTTCGTAGAATATATATATAATATAAGTTACAATTTACAATGTACACAAAGCATTTAAGTAGATCTATTCTTTAAAAAAAACAGGATTAGAATGAAAGACAAAGTGTCCTATGGAATTCTTCTCCTATATTATCGTTATGATAATTATATAATTATAGAATGTAAGTAATATAAATGAGCCGCGTCACGACAAAACCAACATAGTGCGTTTGCGACCAGCATGGATCCAGACCAGCCTGCGCATCCGCGCAGTCTGATCAGGATCCATTCTGTTCGCTATCAGTTTCTCTACTTGTAATAGAGTTTGTAAGCGAACAGCATGGATCCTGATCAGACTGCGCGGATGCGCAGGCTGGTCTGGATCTATGCTGGTCGCAAACGCACTATGTTGGTTTTGTCGTGACACGGCTCAAATCGTGTTTAAGCTTAATTAAGAAACACGCTCTCAATTTTTAGAATTGTTATCTGTTCCTTTTAAGTCCGCCTTTCAAGTCATTCATTTACCAATTGATGAAAATCGACCGTTGCCAAAACTGGTCTCACACACATGATGCCTTGTTCAAGGGCATGTATGTACGCTTTTTTCACCATGTAATATAAATATCATAACAATTTGCATGGTTAAAATCAAATTTTACTATTAGTTTTTTTGCAGACGACAAATGCCGACGACAAGACGACAAAGGTCGCGCACAGAGACGCTGCACGCTTGTAAGCAGTCAAAAAGTGGTCACATAAAACGGAAACCGGTATATATAGCAATTACGCGAGAACTGTTTATTTAAAGTGATTTTTTTTCAAATCATCTGCCTATTAGTGTGTACCTTTTTTTCCTTTTGTATGTTCATAAAAATAAAAATGAACAATTTTCCAACAAATTTTCTTAAAGGCCCATTATGCCAAAGAATAGCTTTTATTTTTGTTACATTTTGCTACTATTATGACAAATCATCTCACATTCATCGCTACTTTCTTCAGGTTGCAAGCAACGTTATTAAATTTCATATTTGGCCTTCTTAAAGAAGTTAACATTTATTGGTTGTGCCATTATATACACTTTCTACCATACCATTCAAAACTTTACTTGCATATTACGAATACATAAGCTCAAAAATTCATGAGATTTTACATTGTTCGGTAATACACTATTTGTCTCCGTTTTGATATTTAAAACCTCCCCTCATTTTCCCCAAAGACATTTATACTATGAATGTCTGCACAAATTGAACATAAAACGTGTTTTCTACAAGTGAATTATTCTATCAGCTGACATCGTTACCTTGGGAACATGCTGATAAATTTTCATATTTTTTTTTCAACCTCCTCTTATCACAGACGAAGGTTCACTAATGAACTAGTTATGTTGTTTGTCATTTAGTTCTGTAGAGAGCTTTAAATGGCAAAGATTATGCCATATAACAGTTAACAAGGGACAGTTTTATTATATACATATACAAGAAATATTGAGAAATATTCAGGACAGGAAATAAACTGCATATTCTCGTTTTCCGTATTTTCAATGTAAATATATTTTCCACTTCAGTGAAACACATTTTTTTCTATTTTCACTGGTGTCTAGCTTCATTAAGTCTTTCAAATGGTAAGGTAAAAAAAGTGCAAAAATTACATAATTACATAATAAAAAACCACTCGATGAAAATAAATTCCATATTTGTAGGGAAAAAAAACAGCTCACTTATTCTCTCTGTATTGGTAGAAATTATTACATTTTAGTGCAGACGATAAGCTTAAGAATTTGACTGACAAATGAGCCACGTCATGACAAAACCAACATAATGCATTTGCGACGAACATGGATCCAGACTGATCAGGTTCCATGCTGTTCGCTATCAGTTTCTCTACTTGTTATAGGGTTTGTAAGCGAACAGCATGGATCCTGATCAGACTGCACGGATGCGCAGACTGGTCTGGATCCGTGCTGGTCGCAAACACATTACGTTGGTTTTGAATACAAACACGACTTACCTACTTATATATATATATATATATATATATATATATATATATATATATATATATATATATATATATTATATATATATATATATATATATATATATATATATATATATATATATATATATGCTAAAATTTCTATGAATGTGTATAAGACATAAAATGTGATTATTTTAAACCAGAGTACCAGTAAGTCACGCTCAAGAAGTGGACGTGAATGCCAGAAAGAGGAGTCACAGACAAGGAGTGGGTGCGAATATCACCCAGCCGAGTCAAGGACTAGGAGTAGGAGAAAGAACCACCAAGCTAAGTCAAGGGCTAGGAGTAGGAGCAAGAACCACCCATTCGAATCACTCTCAAGCAATGGAATTATATACTTTCCTGCCGAATCGTGCTCAAGGAGTAGGCGTGAACAAGATATGGCGAATTCTCGCACGAACAGTCGGCATGGGAACGGTTCAGATGAGTCACGCACGAGAAGTGGGTGTAAGTTTCATTCATTAGGAGGAGATGATAATTTCGAAGAAAGAAGATCACTGCGTTCTTCAAATCGCAAGATAAAAGCTGCACTAGCACAGGTAATATTGAAAGATGTTCACATGTCCGGAAAGCTTGTCTTTAAAAAAAATAATCGTTATTTTTCTTGTTTTTTCCCCTTTATTCATTTTTTTTTGTTACTACATTCGATTTGATTTTTTCTTTTTAGATTACCTCAGTCATTAACTAGATTTTATCAAAACAATTTCATATTCAATTGAATTAACAACAGAATAAGTTTATGCACCTGACATCTAATAGATACTGATATTTTACCCACAGTCTCATTAAAAGTACTTTGATAATTATCTGTATTTTTTTCTGTTTTCGCACTCTCCCTTTCTCCCAGAAAAGCACCGATCTTCAACTATAATAAATGGGTTGTTATTATTTACCCAAAAACCGCTAGAATTCTTAAATGGACTTATATAGCTTACATGTTTAACAGACATTTATTAATATTCGGGATATCGAGATGAAAATTTGAAGATAGTCAGCCAACATAATAGAGTCTGCCATGGTCAAACTTCACGGATGTGCTGGCTGGTCGACCTCTTTACTAACGGCAAAAGCTAATCACTTTCAGTTTCAGCAAGGTTAAGCTTTATAAAGGTTAAACGGTATATTCGCATATATATTCCAGGAATTAAAGAAGCGAATTGCTGCCATTCCCATTAAAGACCGGCAAGTGCCCGAGACAGACGATCTGAGATTTCTAGGTATGGAATTAAAACTTCGTTTAGCAACCAATTGTGATATAATCAGCGAAATTGGAAGGCGAGGCGGAAAGGTTAACGTTATGACTATATATAGCACACACAGATTTATACCTATATGGGAAATAAACAAACAGCAGGAACCGTCATTGCTTTGTGAGGTCAAGGTCAAGGTCAAGCCTAAAAGACTTCGAAATCATTTTTAATAAACTGTGCTTCTGAATTAATTTGTTGATTTCTTGTTGTTACTCAATAAATGTTATATTTATTCTAAGAGCATTCTCACTGTTTTATTCAATTTTCAGCTCGACTATACGAAGCATTATGGAAAGCTGTCCTAATCTTCGCGTCAACGTCAAGATTTCAAATTATAGTTTTTGTGTAGTAATTATCTTATTTTATTCTATTTTTTATTTTTTACTATAACTTTATAATATATTTCTTACCATTACCTACTTCAAACTTCAAATATATGTTCCATATCACACATAGGATATGTGATGAGATTTATAACTCTAGCACACATTTTTCAGAACTATCTTTTAATTTTTTGAACTTAGAATTTATGTTAAAAAATGTTATTTCTTACTAAAACTTCTTCATTTCTAAATGTATCTACTTCAAACTTCAAATATGTGTTGCTTATTATCACCTACATTATGTGTGACAAGGTTCATAACTCTAGCATGAATATTTTTTCTAGACTTTAAAACTATCTAGACCTATGACAATAGAATAACTTAGAAGGGAGGTAACACAGTAAATCTTAAAAATGTGATACACCGAAGAGTTGCCTACCTTTATAAAGGCTATGAAACAATGAAAGTTGTTGAGGAGTATAGGATTTCACGTTGTCACTACAAAATAAGATCTACACAAAAGATATGTATCTGCTCTAATGACTTTTTTATCGCACCAAAAGTACTGGTATTTAATCAGATCGTTACTGATTGACCTTTAGTCTGTTAGACCACTGTAAAAAAGCAGACCGGAAACAGTCGGAATGCGAGATATACTGTAAATCAATCTTGGGTAAGTTTTATTGTTGTTTTTATTAATATTATTGATTAAGATGAAGTTTAGTAGATAAAGTACGGGTCATGAAGGTATGTTGTCATAGATATATTGTTAAGTATTATTGTAAGGAGATATTCGTATTTATTTTAATTATTTTTGTATTTTTTTTAAATAATTAATGATAATATCAAGGCGAAAATTTGGGGATGGGGTGGGCGAGGGGTAAACGTTTTGTTTTGTTAATACACATGTATGATCTGTAACGTCATGTTGCTGGGTGTAAGATGAGGAATCACTTACTTAGATATCAAATAAATCCCTTTTCATAATATCAACACAATGTATATTTAAAAACTATTTGGAAGGAAAGTTTATTTATTTTGACGTTTTCTTTATAAGCGTGGGTTGAATAGTATCAGGATAGGTTTGGGCGTTACCTAACGGGTTATTCGCTTTAAATTGTCATGGCAACTTCTGCCAATAAATTACCTGAAATGTGGTTGGTTGGGACGAATGGTCGTGAACCAAATATTACGGAAAGGCAGTCTCGATCTCAGAAATCTAAGGTCTATAAATTAAACGCTGTCCTATTGACTTTTTCGCAGAGCATGTAAAGAAAGAAAATAGGATAAAAATTTTAAACGTATTATCTAAAATAGTATAACAATTGATATTTTTGTTGATAGTTATCTATTTTGTATTTCTTCAGGAATGTAAGGAATATAATAGCAACGACAGACATGTTTACAATTGTAAATTATCCTCAAGTTCATTATCATCGGAGGGACGCCTCGGAGCCTCGTCCTGAGATTATCAACCATCGGAATGATCCAGACAGTAAAAGATGGTCCGAGAAGTTGCGGAATGAAGAGACAACTTATAAACATCTGAAACAGCACCGCGATGAACTTCTAGAATCAGAGATAAGATATAAAAAGACCATTAAACAATTGGAGAAAGAAAAGGCAGAGCTTATCAAAATTTATGAACCTACATATGATGAAAATAAAGTACTGAAAAGTATTATAGAGCACGGACCGGATGCTGTTAAGATGAAAAAGTTACGTAAGGCCAGGAAAGAGTTGGGTGAAGAAGTAGATACACTAAAAGATGAAAATAAAAGGTTAACAGAGCAAATGCAAGAGCTGATAAAGAAAAATGAACCCATGAGAGATAACTTATTAGAAAAGAATTGGCACGATGTCCTTTCCGAAAGTAAGAAAACGAAAGAAAATGAAACTGTAGTCGCACAGGGACCTTTTCCCGCAAAAGATAATGAAAAGGGTAAGAAAGTCCCGGAAAAGAAAAATATGAAGGAAGACGACGAGTATGATTTACAATTAGATACTGTCGAAAAAGAAATTCAGATATTGTTAAACAATGTGAAATATATAAAGAAACAGAAAGAAAAACTGGATTATGCTATCTTGATGAGTAAAGGTGCGATCGTCAGAAACTCTGTTCTAGAGAAAGCAATATATGACAAACTAGATGAAGATTTAACAAAATTTAAAACCGAATTGGATATTGCGAAAAGTAAACACGATGATATAAAGGAACAAATTGAACAAAAAGAGGAAGATAAGGCCAAACTTAAAACAGATCCTGTAATTAATTCTGATAATAAAACAGGAAGTGAAAAAACGATGGTTTTAGATCAACCTGAAACGTACACAACAAGAGAAACACAAACGGAAACTTTAACTGAACAGAAACCTGTTGAAACAGACCAACATAAAGTAAAGAAAAAGCGAACAATAAAATCAAATTCAAATATTGCTGTACAGACCGATTTCCCAAACGTTTTAGATTTAAAGAGCATAAACCAAGAAGCTATGAAATATATAGAACAGTATGAAATCAAGAAATCCAAAATACATGAAGCTAAATTTAGTATGTCAGAGAAAGTGTCTTCAACTCAAACGCGTAAAAACTATGCAAAGAAATTGGTAGTTAGGCGACAAGAAAGTCCAATGATGGATCGGACGTCAAATGATAGTATGAAACAAATAAATAAGGTATTTCTTAATAGAGTAGATCAACCTCGCAAGAAAGTTCAGATGCCAACTAACGCACAGAAGAGAATGGACGAGGCTTTATATGCGAGGGAAGAAGAGAATGTGGACATAGTCGACAGGTCAGCAAACAAGGAGAAGAAAAGAAGTAAGTCACTTGCTGCAACTGGTGGTGATAGCGCTAACAGAGTTGTGAAACAAATTAACAGTCAAGGGAAAATCAAAGATAAACAGCAGCTACCGACTAAAGACGTAAGCCATACAGAAGAAACAGTTCCAATGAAATCAAATCAGAAACTAAGTAAAATGAACAGAAATACGCATGTTGAACATTTGCCTAGACTTAGAAATACAAACATGTCCTATGCACAATCAAATTTTCAAAAATCCAAGATTGAACCAAAGAGTGTTGATCAGTTGAAGAGGGAACAGGATATCTATGATTATGAAAACATGATTATGAACCCAAAAGCAAATGTTGCGAATCCAGCAGGAAGACTGCAAAAACCTAAACTCGATCGAAACCGGCTTGGTAATATAAAACAGTCAAGATTTAAATCAAAAAGTAGTTTAGATATCAATCAAGCATCGACACATTCTAGAGCATCTGCTAGGAAACATAGGCTACCTGTTACTTTACCACCTATAGATAGGATTTCAATAAGGTCAGGATCTGTAGACTCGTGGAAAAGCGAAAGCGACTTACCCGTCTTCTCAGAGAGTGAAACTGGTTCAATCAAACCGATAAAAGATTTCAAATTAGTCATCAAAAAGAAGAAGAATTTAATGCATTTAAGAGGTGTGCTTGACGGAGAGGTTATTGAGAAACGAGACGAAAGTGCGTATGATGAGGTGCTGCATGATCTGCACAACCAACAAAAGCAGTCTGCAAGGGATGTTTATCAAGAATTTAATAACACGGTGCATAATTTTCGCGATAAAAAATATAACGCTAATGAGAAGCAAAAACATACGAAGAAAAGACACGAACCTCCTTCAGATATCATAGAACAGGCACCATTAACATTTATAGAAAGACCATCTTTGGAAAGGGAATTATAGTAGAAGTAGAAAAAGACACCAATAAATTGATAAAACTTTTTTTTTAAGCACCATATAAATCTTGATATTTTATTCAGTAAGTGTGTATGCTACTAATAACACAGCAATTAAAGTGAACGAACGCAGTGAAAAAAAAAATATAGTTATAAACTTCCATAACTTCAACACAATGCAAAACAATTCAATGTCATGTAATTTAAAGTGATTTAGTACAAAATAATATAATACAATACTTAATATTCAATGTAATACTTGATACTATGTTCTTAAAACTAAATAATCTAGATATTCGTAGACTCACACTATACCAAGGTGTCTTCACATATAAATAAAAAGATTCTTTCCCACAAAAGTTTGAGGAGTTCTTCAAAACAAATTTAATTCTATCAAATTGCAAGGTTCGTGGCTTTTTTACCAAAACATTATTATCATATTTTATCATATATATCATCTGTAATTATGCGCAGTAAAGTTTCGTAATCAAGGCCGATAATATCAGACACTTCCGAAAAGTCAGTCTTCGGTCGACTTTAAAAGTTCGTTGAATCGACGCCAAAGATGATGTCCTCTTTGTTCTTTCTCGGCCATACCTGTAGTCATCCTCTAGGTCAGTCCTTCCATTTATTAGCCTTTTTATGCCATTTAAGTACCAGTGCGCGGCTCATTGAAACATTGCATCTGTTCTTCTTCAACATTTAAAAGTTTCCCTAGGCCTTTGCCTTAATCCTGAACAAACTGTTTGTCCGCGCGATTTTCAGGTCGTTCAAGACAATTCATTATGGTTCCATAGACGTTAACAACTGCCTTCTTTAAAATGATGTTCATTCTGTCAAAGATAACATCAAAATACGTCAAATTCTTACTTGATGTAACGGTGTTTTGAATGAAAATCGAAATGTATAAAGAGGTTATTCTCTGGGTTTCAATCATTCAGTCAGACGGGACGGTGGCGCGTTACCATGGAATGTAAATACGAATTATGGTTATTTGATAATTCTTTTTGTAGTAATTGTTCCAATAAACATAGGGAAAAGATAACGGATTGAAACTATGCCAAGAACAAGAAATAATTAAAAATACATGAAAAGTTTACGAATGTAGAGATCAACCCTCGAATACTTCATACAACTTTATGCAACATCCAATACAATAGATGTCACGTGAATCATTTTTTAGATATTCAGTAAAATCTATGGGGAAAGTGTAAATTTTTCTGACATATATCTGTTATGTAAATATGTATATTAAATAACGTTTAAAACAGTTTATTCTCAACACTATGATATCAATTTTGTTGATTTAAATACATTGTAAAGTTCTAGAATGATTATTAACGACTTAAAAATGTAACGTGACATTGTCTTTTAAGTTTGTTATTATTCAAATGTATTGTGTATGCATTATGATCAATGCAAAATCACATTATGTATGATAACTATAAACAAGTCAAAAATAAAATAATATTCTGTTCTGTTCCAATACAATACAATACAATAGAAATCAGTATAAAACAATTCAATTTGATAGAAAGGAATACAATGAAATGCAATTTAAAATAATACTAAACATAACGCAACATAATGCAATACCGTATACCTTATCATTCGGTACTACAAAAAAATGTAATACATTGTTTTGCAATGGAATGCAATGTAAAAAAATAATGTAAAAGAATACTACTAATGTACAACGCAAAACAATGCAGTATCGTATACCTCATACATTCAATACACTGCTAAATATAGTAAGAGCATTCGACACTAATTATAGACGCTGGATTTTTTTTCGGATGAAAAAAGAAAGAGAGACTTAATGTAAAACAAAACTGAAAACACAACACCGTACCACACCACAAAAGTTCAGTATACAACACACATATACGTAACACATGTGTCCACTCCTGTATTAAACAATAGTACGTTACATAGGCTAGCGAACATTAAACTCATAGCAAAAAAGACTTCTGAAATTTATAATTGATATTTCTACTGTGTAACACGTACAATGCATGTGTATCTCATTGCATATTGATTGATTGATTGATTGATTGATTGATACAAATAAATATAATAAAATGAAACAAATAACACGTTTTCTTTATCTATCTTTTCCTGTTCTTCTGTCATTGATTGAATTATTACAAGGGAGATCATCAACAGTCGTATGTGCAATCCATTGCACATTTATCTCCCTTTTCCCGATATATTCAAAGCTACAATAGGATAGCAAATATTAAACTTTTCTTCAATCTTTTATTAGGGGTATTTCTTCCTAATGTATTAAACGGGAATTTTATTATCAATATTATCTTAATTTATTATATATATCAGTTATCATTCAACATAAAACATGTCTAGTATAATTAGATATAAAACCCTTGTTATCATTTTATATAAAAATCTTGAACAGGGGTGATGTAGTTAAGTAGTTTCAAATCCATTTGCTACATTAACTGGTGACATATATAAACCTACATAAAAACAATATATCAAAACTGTTGTTTTCCATTTCGGAATATCTTTGTTACGTCTTTGTAACTACCCATTACAGAAGACAATGGAATCATGTATGAATATCTATTGGAGAGTATCAAGTTCTGTTACACTTGTGTTAACTGTAACAGCATGAAAGCAGATATCGTGTCAATCGAACCATTGAGGCAAATAGTATAATTAGTATGTTAAAACAAATATTCGTTGATTTTAATCGGAAATAAACGCGAAAAGGTAATCATTATCTTATATGCACATTTTTGTAGTCATGTTTTTATTTTTTATTATGAAATGTTTCTTAAATATAGCATGTTTATAAGCTGACATCACTTGTGTTGTATGTTATATGATGACCGACGTTTATTTGAAAACCAAATGAACAAATTCAGATTTGATGTCAAAAATATTCATACTGTTGATACCGTAAATGTAAATTGATTTTTTTATGAAAATCTTTCAGAGAAAACTGTTAGTCATCATCCGTTACAGGATTATTTTATAACAAGTTTCTGAATTTTTATTCTGAAGTGATTACATGTATTTCAGCTCACCTGGTCGTATATACTGCATTATCTTTGAAGAATAAAACAACGCCCTATTTATATTAAATTTAAATGTCAATGGAATAAAAGAAGTGATCATAGAAAGATTCACTTTGAAGAAACGAAACAGCACGACTTTAAATCTATATAAAGTCAATAATTATTTATATTTTTCAACATTCCAGTTTAAAGTGTACAAGATGTTCACAGTCGTGCCGAAACCCGAGGCTCCTGATATTGAAGATTACCAGCCTGCTAAAGGGGAACCGGCACCACAAATAATAAACCACCGCCAAGAAAATCAAACTCATAAAAAGAAAAAGGCAACATACGAAGATATAAAGGAACAAAGAGATAGTTTACTTGAATCCGAAATGAAGTATATCAAGAGAATAAAAGAACTTGAAAAAGAGAAAGAAGACCTACTTAAGCTGTACGAACCAACTTACAAAGAAAACAAACAGCTCAAAAGTCATTTGATGCACGGACCAGAATCACAAAATATAAAAAAGTTAAAACAAGAGAAGAAGAAAATCTTGAGCGAATTAGAAATAGTGAACACAGAAAATGCTGAATTACAAGACAGAGTAAAGGAACTAGAAAAAATGTTCCTTTCCGAAAAAGATTATTATCGTGAAAAGAAATGGCGGGAAGCAATCGAAAAGGGACGAAAGAGACGCGAAGAAAAAGATACCTTACTGTCAACACAAGGGCCGTTTGCCTCTTCAAGAAAACCGAATAAGAGAGATTTGAAATCTGTTACTGACGAAGAGTTCGAAAAGCAGGATGCTCATGATTTACACATCGACACACTTGAGAAAGAAACACAGATACTTTTGAATAAAATAAGAAGAATGAAGCAAAATAAAGGAAGCATAGATTATGCTTATTTTATCGGAAAAGGAGCAATTACCAGAAATTCATCAGTAGCTAAGGCCATCAACGAAAAACTAGATAAAGATCTGGAGGAATTCGAAAACCGCCTAGAAAATTTGAGACAGAAAACTAAACAGCTTAAGGATATTTCTTCAGAGGATTTGGAAGTACCAGTTGAGACAGCACAAATTAAACAAACTGGGAACAAATATTTTCGAACACGACAAACACAAACTAATTTAGTTGATGAACAAATACGAACGAATCCTCCCTCTAACAATAATAATTTAGGTGATAAACAAGGCATATCAAAGCCGATTGCGGAAACACGAAACATTTCGACAAAGGAGAGCAAGAAAAGACAGTTGATGATTAAAAGAAATACTCCAGATTATGACATAGTTCATGATAAATATCATGCATCTGATGATATACGTACATTTACTAGACCTCACGCGAAAGAAGTTACTCATGAATCGTATGAAGATCAAAGTGCAACGAAACAGGGGTCAAGGAATATAAGACGAACTCCGGATGAAACTGAAGGTTTTGGTTCACCTATTGCGGAACATTGGCGCCATCTAACCATAAAGCTAAATGAAGTGGAAAAGTTTGGCGGTAAAACACCCTTTGCATACAGAGATAAGACTAAAGGGAGGGCATCTGTTCAGTCAAGTAGTTCAAGAAGACAAGAATCTATGTCTTATGTTCCGAAAAGAATACCGTCAACTAGACCGAACTCTGAAGAAATCTTGTCTGCCTCAGCAAAGAGTCGCAGAAGTGCAAATTCAGAAATTTCTAAATCTAGTTCTAGAGATTTATCCCCGCAACTTTCAGCCAATTTAGAATCAATGTCTGACATTGACGAACTAGATTATGAATGTGGTGCTGACGATATGTTGGACACTAAAAAGGAAATTAATATTGTTGAGTCACTAGAGAAGGCACAAAGAAAAACAACTAATTTGGGCGAAGAAATCCGGTTTATACCAAGGCAACGTAGCTGGGAAACGGGGAGAAATGCAAGATGTAATAATGAACAAAATGGAAGATACGCCAACGGTTTTGAACCGATCAGTCGCTATAGGAAAACGAACAAAAAGTCTAATGATGCTAAACTTATTGAAGGTGAAACTAAAACCATGATTTCAAATGAAAAAGGTACGTCAGATGATCAAAGTGAGGCAATTAATGAGAGTGGAATAGCAAAAGATGTAAGGTTTAAGCAGAGGACATATTCTGGTGATAAAATAAAACGAAACACACAGGCGATGCCTTCTGAGCTTAGATTTAAAAATAGAAACACAAGAGATTCAAAAGTTCCAAGGGCAAAGGGATTGACAGAAGATAATCGAAGACATGCAGGAGAGGCACCGGATGAGGAAATGGTTTCTTCACGAAACATTTCTGCGTATGACGAAGTGTTAGCCGATGTTTCAAAGCAATACAAAGATCATGAAAGAAGACAAATGTTTCAGTCGAGAGTACAATATAAAAACGAGGATAAAAACGATTATGACCGGACGCAACAAACCAGAAATATAAATGATGAACACGGAGTTGATTTGCCTAACTACGGGGTTAAACATGTTGAGAAAACAGTATTTGAAAAGGGACAAGGAGGCGCGTCTGTAAGCAGTGGAAAATCCCGTGAATACATTTACAATTTAGATCTGTTATGATGACTTCTATTGAATAAAAAACGTGTGAATGCGTGCGTGCGTGGGATGATGTGTGTGTGTGTGCGTGCGCGCGGGTGTGCGTGCGTGCGTGTGAGTGTTTCAAAATTGTAAATCAATATCAAGAATCAAACTGGCATACATTTTCCATTTGGTCGAAATCTCAACTATATTTTAAGATTTCTTTTATCAAATTATATATTGTTTCAGCAATTTTTTATATTACAGGGGAAAAAGAAATAAAATGTAAAAAAAAAATATGTAATCTGTGTATGTTATGTTTTCTTAGATATTTACTCGTTTTGACATGAATTTTAAATTTAAACTTCCATTAAATGGTCTTGATTTTCATTTTGTCTGGAATTGGCCGATTCAAGGGATACTATCCTCTAGTCTTCAGAAGATATTTTCACAATTTTAGCATATGAATACTCTACGACATGTAAATGTCATCTTTTGGAATGTAATACAACTTTGATATTCGAACAGTTCATTTCAGGTCAAAACTATATTTATAACTTAAAGAAATATACACATATCTGTCATGATTTGTTGATATATTTATTTTAAAAACCAAAAGGCTGAGCAGCCAGTTGGTCAGCGGAATCAACACGCACGCATACAAATTAACAAACAAGTTAAAAGGTTTTCCTGTGGGGATAAGTTTAAATGATTTAAAGATATCTGGTGTAAGTGTTTTCTAAAATGTTTGGAAAAAAACACGTTTGTATCAAAAATATAGTATCAATAGAAGAAAGTCTTTGGAGTAACCGGTGACTGTCGAAGACCGGAGACCGGAGAGGATCGTTTAGTAGTACACCCCCGTCTTTTTGAAATTCCTCTTGCTGATACAGACTACAGTTTACATTTAATTCTTTTTTTTTTAATTGGACTTGAATATTCTTTTAGGTAATGATGCTTTATAAATCGCACATAACTACGGGCACTTACTATAACGACATGAAAGTATGCATTTTTATGTATCTCCTTGTAGCTACACAAACACTCGCTATGAAATAAGAAATTAAATGAGCTCTCAGAATATGACATATGTTAAAAGATGCGCTTTGTTGTATTTAAAATTTAACAAAAAGAACTAATTTGCCTGGTAGCGGTAGTCTTGAATTACCAATCTCGTTTTAATATAATTAAACAAACAATTTTCTTTTCATTTAAACAATAGCGGTATATCGGATTCCATTCGATCTTCACTTGCGGCATTCTTTTAATAAAACACAATCATATGGTTGAGTTGTCGCAAAATTTAAATACTCCATTTTAAGATGGGACATTTAAAGAATAACAATAATGACTTAACGCCGGAAAATTTTTGTTTTGAGAATTGGTAAGACTTTTCAATATTAGTTATATTTTATGCCATAAGACAAAATTTTTCAATCATTTAACAGTAAATACATAAATCATGTCATCTAACTAAATTACTAACATGCACATGTATTACTGTTTAATGACTTTGGTTAAAGTTCAAAATATTCATGCATCGGACTAATTTATCAGATTTCCCTTATACTTAATTTTACTATAGACTAGTAGGGTTTGGGTAATAATTATTTTTGAATAAACATATATATTTATATTCACAATATTGTGAAAAGATTACCGGATAAGTGGAAAGATTATATTATAGTAGTTACACGAGTAATTAAAAAACGTCTCTATAACAAAACAATAATTACATATGATTGTAAAATCAAAAGTGTGTCACTCACATAATATGATTGACGAATATAGTTTTTAAATTATTGTATTTCTAGGTAACTCATCTTCATGTTTACTGAGGTCAATTAAAGAAACATGTATACGGTGGTAAATCGTCCTGAGGTGGAGGAACATGAACGACAACCGGGAGAACCATTACCATTGATAATTGATCATAGGAAGGGAGATAAGTGGAAAAATCGTCACCGAAAGGAACAACTCCCATACGACACACTGAAAAAACACCGTGATACACTTTTAGAATCAGAAATAAAATACAAGAAGACAATTCGTGAGTTGGAAAAGGAACGGGATGAACTCGTTGCTACCTACGAGACTGCTTATCAAGAAAACAAACAATTGAAAAGCATTCTTGAACATGGTCCAGATGCAGCGAAGTTAAAGCAGCTAAATAAAGATAAAAAAGAGCAAAAAGGTCTGATAGAAAAACTTCAGGAAGAAAACAACGAATTGGGAGAGAGGTTAAAGCGGTTAGAAAAGATTGAAAAACTAACTGATCCAGGCAATATTATGCTTGAGAGAAATTGGAAGAAAGCGTTGGACAAAGTGAGAAAGATGAGAGAGGAAGAGGAGGCTATTCCAACGCAAGGTCCATTTGCTGGTGGTAAACTTTTTAAGAAGAAGCGCATTGCAATAGATGATGCCCAGGTAGAACTTGATACCTACGATCTACAATTAGATTCTGTTCAAAAAGAAACACAAATTCTTTTAAATAAAGTAAAACAACTCAAACGCGAAAAGGAACAAATCGATTATTCGCTGATTATGGGTAAAGGACATGTAGTTAGAAATGCTGTTGTTGCAAATGCAATAAGTGAAAAATTAAACAGGGACTTGAATAAATATGCAATACGCCTAGAAAAGCTTAAGCTTAAGCATAAAAGTGCAAAGATGTACGTAGAAGATGTGAGAGTTGTCCTTGGACATCCAATCAGAAGGTCATTTGCAAGTCTACCGATAGAGGTCAAATATCTTGAGCCAGTAACGCCGCTAAAACCCGATTCTGCAAATTTGAACGAAAATGAAAAGAAAGATGATACGCCACCTAAAGAGAAAAAAGTTCCTTGGTCTTTATCTACGAAATTATCGCCCCCTGAAAACAAAAAGCAGCCTGTACCTGAGAGAGATAACTGGATACCACCAAAGCAGTTTGAAAAACCAGGAACATATACAAAAATCCATCAAAAATCTGGCCCGCCATTAGATCAAAAAGCTACGCAAAATGTTTCATTGAATTCATCCGATGTCAACGACTCATTAGACAAAGGAGAAACAGTAAACCTTAACTTCCGAGATGACATGCGAATACAAAAACCAAGGCATAGAATAAAAACTTCAAGCCAAGGAAGTCTCATACGAACAACAAAAGCTCAATCTATGCGTGATTCCTGGGTCAAAACAAAGGATGCTTCAAACAAAACTGGTGGTCCAAAGACCAACAACAATAATTCAGCTAAGAGAAGAAACAGTTCAAAGACTGTAGATAGTAATCTGAGGTTTGATGAGACAAACAACAGAGTTCAGTTGACAGCAAGGACTAATAAAACCTTCCCAAATAACCGACCTGTCTACCGACAACGTAAACCGGAAGTTAAAGATAATGAGACATACGACGATGTGCTTGAATCGTTAAAAAGTCAGACGTATTCCGTTCGTGAACAAATGGATCAAAATTTTGCATCTCCTGAACCTATTGACTTTAACGGCGATGGGCGCAATGTGCATCGAGGGGATATGTATACTATGGGGAATACTGGGATAAGAGACAAAAACTTCTTACCGGTGAAATTTGTTATGTAAAGAAATGAATTTATATTTAATGACAATATGTTACAGTTGTGCGTGATTTTCCACTTAATTAAATATGAATTGTTAGAAATGTTATCAAAGAGTGTTACATATTCGTATGTGATTTTAAATGTACCAAAATACCGACAGCAGCCAAAAATTCATTTTTATCATCGCTTAAAGGTCTGATTTAATTACTAGTACATGTAGTTAAATACACGTCGTTAAGTAACTTTCAGAATTTATTAAAGTTGAAAAGAATATTCGAGAAAGTATCAAGATGTTATAAGTTACTTAACGTTAGAAGTACAACTTCATCTGTTTACTTTATTTACGTAATATTTATCTCATATATCTTGGTAAGACTTGAGTTGTTTCCCTTCAACTAAGAGACACGTTTTCAAAATAGATCTAACTGCATGTACATCTTGTATATGGAAGAAGATATATCTATAAGTCATTTTTCAAAGTTCACAGTATTATATTGTAAATATTTTAAAAGGTACGTACCTTTGCTAATCACCAATTACAACATAAAAAGCTTCAATTTAAAAAATTTAGTTTGACATGAGACGAAGATTTTTGTTTATTCAGAAATATGCATTTTTGTATTAATAAAATGCAATGTGACGACAGAATTTTTGGTTGATTGAAAAATCAAGTGTTGTTACAATAATTAAATTCTAGTTTCCTTCGTATATAGTATTTAATTAAAAGTTAATTAAGCGTATACGATAATCACTGAGTACGTTATTGTCATTTTTGTAATATAGTAAAAATATATAATATGCCATTATTATTACTTTAAGTGTAATATCGTATAGGAATTTTAGAGTCGCCATAATAAACTTTTGTACCTTTTACGAAGCAGATACAAGCTTGTCAACCGCTAAATACAAAATATATATTGTTGGAAAATAGCATAAGTAAATAAAATATATGAAGTGTTTTTTATACATGAAGCCGTGAAAATGATCAGCTAGCTGTATACTATTGCCAGCATAATTGTGCAAGATGACCGGTATGCGACACGAGATATAAGCTTTTTATAATCTCTATTATGATTTTACATGCATAAAAAAATCTTCTCTTTTTCATGCATATATAAGAGGTTACTTTCAGTGTGATTGATCATAAAAAAAAAATTCTACGGCCATTCCCACTGTACCTCTCTGCTCTGGCATAAACTTAAGTTATCAGTTCCTTGCGGAGGTAAAGGCAATTAGTGGACAGTCTGCCCATGAACGATGTGGTGGCTGAAATACTCTCTGGTAAATTCAATGTGGCTTACTGCCGTGACCTGGAGTGAAAACTACTAACACTTACACCAGACATATACATTGTTATGGTGTGACTTTTTTCTATACAATTGCTTTTTTCATATTTGAAATTGCAATAACAGGAAATCTACTGTAAGTGTTGATCGATGCCGCATATAATTTATATAAATCGTAAGTAGGTAGGAGGGGGAATTGCCACATTCTTTTGCGTTTGTACTAATGTTAAATTGGTACAAATTATTTGCACGTTCTGATATGTTCAATACAGCAAGACTAAAATATTATTTATAGAACAAAGTTCTTTATATAAGCACGGTTTAACAAAGCTATAAAGTGAAAACAAATATTGAAACAAAAATGCGCAATTATTATTACAATAGTTACTTGAATTATGTATCTGAATCTGAAACCATGTAATAAAATGTCAGCATTTCATTTGATAAAACCTTCATTTTTTCATATTGTTCTATTTATTTGTTAAACAACATAAACGAATTATTATAGTTAAATACTTCAATGTCGTTAGAATTAATTCATTACAAATTTTATCTGCACGCCTCTTGAATACCTTGATATTGATGCATTTGTTGTTGTAATTCGTGTAATTCGTATCATTGGAGATAATTAAAAAACAGAAAAACTGAAAATTATAGACCAGCTTGAGTGAAAAAAGGTGAAATTTTGAATTTCACGATTAAATAAACAACAACAAATCAATAACAACAAAAGTGTTAATCATTTATAGTAAAATTGTTCGTCTGCCAAATTTTCATTTACGTATTAAACAGAATGACCAGAATGTGTATGTTGAAGCGTAGTTTTTGTATGTTGCTGTTTCATATTAAATATTATTTACATTTTACATGACTGGAAGATATCAATGTTCATTGCAGAGTTGACTTTCTTTTATCTTTAAGAACTAAATTTCGATCGATAAACGAAGTGAAAGACGTATGTTATAATAACATATAGGAATGCAGACAGAATGAAAACTGTATTTTACAATTTAATTTAATTCTACTTGATCTTAATTTCAAAATTCACATTTTTTAACTCTTTTGAAATGTCAAACAAGTGTTTAATAATGTTCAAATAATGAATTAAGTGCATGTTAGATGATTTACAACTGAAAAAAGTAGTGCTTAACATGCAGTTATGTGTCGTATTGGTAGCAAAACGTAAATAAAGTGCTAGTATTTTGACTCTCATACAAAATACTATTTCACTATAATTATTACCAACAGAACTAATAGTACAAAAGATAGTTCATGTATATCGCAAATGAGCATGTTTTTTGAAACTGTAACAAGATACCAAAAATACGCTGTTTGTTTTCAAAAATAAAAATGATATCAATTCTGAGTATTTTGAGCGAAAAATGGAGTTCATCGATCACTTTTTCAAGTTATCTCCCATAAACTTGAATTATCTAGTAAATATTTAAAGACATGTAAATAGTAATACTTAAAATTCTAAGATTATGGTATTTTAAAGAAATAGACATTTTCTTTTATTTTACTGTTTGTTATGATTAGCATTACAAGAACACAACTTTTGTTTGTTTGTTTGTTTGTTTGTTTGTTTGTTTGTTTGATTCATTTTACGCCTTTTCCCAACAGTATTTCAGTCATATAGGCGGGTATAGTTTCCGGAGAGTAACACCAGTACTAGACTACCTTCCTCCGCGCTAAACTACCAAAGCATCTCCCGGGGATCGAACCCACGCAAGAGAGGTAACTGGATTGGAAGTCATCGACTCTAACAACTTTGTTGCACAATAGTATATAATAACCAGATAAAAAATGTATTTACTTTTATTACACAATCAAGGATCTAAAAAGATATAAAAAGATATGAAAGAGATTATTTTATTCCGCCAGATTAGAGTCATGCAGTCTTGCCTGGCTAGAATGTAAACTGTTGGCTGACCAACTTGATAAAATGGATAATGGACATGTCCATTTAAGAACAGCAAGAGGTGAATTGTTTATCATGTATAAAATAGCTGAGTTGTCGTGCAAAATATTGACTCGTTTATAAATTAAATTGATCTTTATTATATACACGAGGACTACTGCAAATGAATGTTGAATTATTACACGCCCACATTCATGCAATTGCCGTTCCCATTACAAGTGAAATGACTATATTATCATTTGCAATCATATTAAAACATCACGTAATAAAGAGAAACCAAAGATCCTGTATCTTGATGAACTTTGATGACAACTTTACTTCAATATCCGTATGGGTCATAATGTATTAGATGACTATCATTATTTTGAATGCAGTGTTTTCTTTGCAAATTTATTAAGAAGGCATTCTTTTTAATCTTTTAACATTCCAAACACTCTACCTGAATTACACAATATAGCTTCTAGTAATGTTAAAAAAATATATACTTAACCCATTCAAAATAAATTTTACAGTCTTTAAGACATACTTACTTATTATTGTACGGAGAAAATGTTTCGTTATTATACATTTTGACTAAGTATCCATGACATTTCTACTTTTATGTAAAATTATACAGTCGGTACACAATTTCTAAGTCTTTTAAAACAAATTTAGATCAACTAGTTTATTCAATTATTTCATTTTTCGCTAATTGAAGTTTTTTCAAGACAATTAACTGGAATCATAAGGGGATGAAACAGAAGCGTTATAATATTTATTCGTTGAATGGAGTCATGACTAACATCTTAAAATGATACCAATACTACACTTTACTTGAAAAATAATCACATACATAAAAAAATTTATTGCAAACATGTTCGACATTATTCCGGTATGTGCTTGATCTCCGTATATTTATAGTTTTTTATCAAACTATATATTTTGAAAGACTTTCCAAATGACTGGATGACAGAGATTGCATATCCTTATCTTTTGATTGCTGCCTTTTCAACATACGCTTGTACAATTCTCTGTACCCGAGACCGTATCTTAAAAATGGAATCTCTGGCGACTCTTTTGAAAATGATGAAATGAACCCCGAACGCTTTTTCTCTGTCACATGAACAAAAGAATCACTCTCAATCTTTGGGAGAAAAGTTGGAATACTTTTCTTATTTATCACTATTGTTTCTGTTTTGGACTTTACACAAGTAGATGTTTTAGCTATCTCCGGGTCTCTGGCTTGTACTTGTGTTTCTAAAACCTCCAACTTAGAAATAAGCCATTTGTTTTTATTTTTTAATTTATCTAGTAAAGTTTTAAGCCTTGCATTTTCACTTTCGAGAGTTTTAAGTCTCTCAGAACTGGTTATGACCACCAGCTTGTCTAATGGGTCTTTGTATTTTACTTTATCTGTTTTGACATTTCGAAAACAATCTACATCTTTTACATAATGTCTTAACATTTTAACTTCATCTTCCAACCTTTTAATCCGATCCTTATACGTCTTTACTTCTTTCTTTATATTTCGATTACTTTCTCTATTATTTTCATAAATTCTTAGCTCTTTATTCTCATCTGTTAATTTTCTTATTTTCTCTTTATTCCGAATATCCTCTTCTTTAAGTCTATTTCTCTCTTTAGAAACTATATCATAAGGTTCGTTATAAATATCAACGTCACTTCCATTTCTTTCGTATTTATCCCGCAACCCTTCTATTTCCGACTGTGATTCCTCAAATGTTTTAAGTAAAGAAATAGTACCATTTTCTAACTCCTTAATGCGCTTTCTGTAACCATCCTCCGATATTTCTAGTTCCTCGATCTTACGTTTGTACTCTTCCTCCAAGTTAAGCATTTCCAAACGTTCCTTGCATATATCCTCATACCACAATATAAATCTTTCTTCCGCTTCTTTGTCAGAGAGTCCAGTTCTCGTTTCAAGCATATCAAGTTCACGATGAAGATCATCTGTGCTATCATTATAATCCTGTTCCATTTTCTTCCTTCTAGAATAGGTCTGTCTACCCTGTAGTTTCGAACTTATTCGATATTTTAATAAAGCACAAGTTTTAACTCCAATCAATTTCTTCTGTTTGTTATATGCCTGTTAAAAAAATACACGCATATTAATACATGTCCCTTGTTGTAAAATGGGTATACCGTTTCTGTTCATCGTTCAACTAAAGACTGTTTTATAATAAGGATTAATGTTTTGCTTTTACAAATATTTTGATATAATTTAAAATTTCTCAATTAACTGATAAAATCATTTGATTTTATGAATAAAATGATAACAATTTGAATACACCTTAAACCTTGCAAAAACAAAAAATATTTGCATTATATCTATTTATGTAGGAGAATGTTGTATTGATGTAAAATCCGTTAATTTTAACAAAGTGTGCTATTTGCCCTTTAAAGTCGCTTCCTATCGGTCTATTTACCAATAGCAAAAAAACAATAATTTACGGAAACAGTCTAAAGTCACGGACACTCGATTAACTGGAATCAATAGCGCTATTGTGATTGTTTAAATTTCAGCATGCTTTCAATTCGTTGACCAATTCATATCAACAACAAGGCTAAACTATGTAGATGACCCAATTTCTTGCGAATATTTTGTCCTCTTAGCTTGCATGCGTTAATTGTAAAATCTTTTGTTAATACAACAATAACTTTTGTGATAGAAATAATAGAAATTCTGATAAATATATTAGTAACCCTCCTGTGAGCATATTAACACGCCTGTAAATATGACAATAACACTCCTGTGAATATAACACTACCCCCTGTTGTGAATAAGGGAATACCCAACTGTGAATATTAACATTAACATTCCCGAGAACATTTCAATGACATTCCTGTGAATGTGAGAATTTCACATTTGTGAATTTGTCACTACCCCCTTCTATGAATATAATCATTGTAAAATTCCTGTAAATGTAATGATAACACTCCTGTGAAGATTATACTACACCCTTCTGTCGAGATAACTAGTATAACACGCCTGTAAATCTAACAACAACACTCCCGTGAATACCACACTACCCCCTCCTGTGTATTAAGCAAAAAAACTACTTTGAATATAAGAATAACGTTCTCGTGGACATATCAATAACACTACTCTGAATATGACAATCACACTCTTGTGAATATAGCACTAACTCCTCCTGTGAATATAACAATAGCACCGAAGATAATATAACAAAACTTTATGTGAACATAGCAATACCTTCTTCTGAATGTAACAATTCCCTCCAGACATGTGAATATAACAATTAACTCCCATGAGTATAACAATAACACTACTGTGAAAAATGCAATATCGTTGCCGTAAAACATAGTAGAACATGATAAAAAAAAGCAGTAAAACATTATGTGAACAAAGCCAAACACTATTTTAATCAAACAATAACATTATTGTTATTATCCTTTTGTGAAAATATGAAATCCCGTCTGGAAAAACTTATATATACCTCTAGTGAACATAGTGGGTCAAAATTTGTAAAATAAACAAAACAGTTTTTGTTCCGCTGTAGCTAACAAAATGTTAACCTACATCATTATGTTAATTTGGGGCCTTGAAAATCTAAGTGGTATATTTTTCAAATATAAGTAACGATTTAGTGTTGATATAATTTAGTTTAAAGGCCATTGTCAAATAGTTTTGTTTTATTTCGCACGCAATGTTTCCTTTCTCTGAATGAGTCAACTTATATCTTAAGGACACCATTGACGTAGAATGAATAGAAACCACTTATAGAGGATTTTAGATAGCGAGTGCGGCGTTTTATACATCCATTCCATAATTGTTTTATGTATTTAACTCATTGTTCAATTTTAATGACCTGTTAATTACGCATGCATCATAAAGCGCTCAGAAAACTTTGATAAAATACATTTATTTTGCGAGAATAAATATGGAAAAAAACATGTTTATATCTCACATGATAGGCGCAAACAAAGAATCACAACAGAATATATTGCAAATTAGGAAAAAATAGGCCTTTAATTACAAAAGTTGATGGTTTTACGTCGTTAGTTCGAGTCTAGTAACAATTGTCACAGTTTAATTTATCTCATTGATCGTTATACATCTATAAAGAAGTTTAAAGTGATTTGAGAAATAATTTGTTTTAGCAATAATAGCGGTGTAAAACATACAATACCCGGTACAGTGAGGGTCGTCTAACCAATAAATTGATCATATATAAATTATCCAGAATCATTTGCTAAACGATATTCTTCGTTATGTACGATAATAAGATCAATAAACACTATGAAAATATAAACATAACTAAATACATGTTAATTGTCCAGACAATTGTCACAACGACACCAATCCTAGTGGGACTTTGACATATGCATTGCTTAACCCCTAGTAGGGGATCTGCACTGCAAAGCCAAGCGGAAAGTTAAATCTTCCCTAAATCAATCCTCATATTCCCGACTATTCCAATGCCAGATACAGAAACAAAACTGTCTCATTGACACGTCATTTCGGGCTTAAGGGATAAAAAAAAATTCGGCTTATTTTCCCTACTTCACTTCACTTCCCATTCACTTCCATCGGGTTGGAAACTGGTTTTTTAATTGATTAGCGCATATATTTTAATGGTTTTTAGCTGACATAATTACATTGTTTATCAATATATTTTTTTTTCTTGGTTCTTCTTCGAGTTTCTTTGTTCTGTTTAATTTGGATTGATTAAACCGGGAAATGAATTTATACATAATATCATTGTAATTGATAAATTGTATTTGAATACTCTAATGATAGTTTGCATCTTATTCACTTAATCAAATGTTCATAACTTCTTATAAAACCAAAGGGGTAAAGTATCAAGTTGTAATTGTCTTTGTCTCCCAAGGATCATTTGTTTGAGTTTATGTTTGGGTGTTAGAAGGTCAGTGGTCTACTCAGGTACATGCTTCTGTCTTAAATAATGGAAGAAAAAGAGGTACATGCGTCTTCTTTTTCCTCTTAAGCTTGAAAGTCGCCATATGACATTGACAGCGTCTGTATGATTTAGAACTTAAAGCCAATAAAACAGAAAATGTTTGAAGTTACATATAGACCATCCCTTTCTAGAATAACTTATTGTAAACTAGACTCAGTTTCATATCTATAATATGCCTACAATAAAAGTAATGAATAGTTAAATAGTAAAATAACAGTGTTCTATTATTCTATTGTTGAATTTAATAGCCATCACGAGATATATGATAGGGAATTTTGCGAGTCTCTTGTTATTGTGTTATTTCGCGCGGATAGATTTACTGAAGATATAAGATACGATATGATAAAACAAGGAGCAATGTAGATTGTGTTTGTTTAACCACGTATAAATCCTATAAGATATGTGCAGTTAAAGTTGTTTCTCTAACAGAGATATTGATCAAGATGGACATTGTTTCAAATGTAAAATCAAAAGAAAACAGTGTAGAAGATAATGAAAATATTGTTCAAAATAATAAGAAAGATAATACAGAAAAATTGAATAAAGATGACAACGAACACAATAACGGAACAGATGATAAGATATCGCAGCAAAATATGAAAGTGTTGCATGATTCGGATGTTGAATGTCAATCAAGCGAAGAAGAAAACATTGAAACAATAAGCGGAAAGGAAGCGGAGACTAGATTTTTGCTTTGGTATGAAGGCATACAACGTAGGGAGGAATGGTACAAAAGACGAATTGAAGAATTGGAAAAACTTGAGGAAAAATATAAACAAACAATTGCAACTTTAAAAAACAATGATGAAAAATTACAACAGAGATACTCTAAGGCGTTAATTGAAATCAAAGTGCTAAGAAAAAAGAACATGCTGCCTTCAGATGATAAGGAATTCGTGGAATCTTATATATCCCTGTCTGCTGAAAGAGAAAATTTAATTATATCTTCTCGTGAAAATAGTGACACGATCAAAAAGCTTAAAAAGGAAATGCTTACTATGAGAACGAGGTTAAATTCAAATCATGCAAGAAACCCTGCACTTCGAAGCGTTTCAACTCAAACAAAAATGGACAAGTTTCCAACACATTACTCACAGAGTGTCAAAACTGAAACTGATGGAAATAACACTCTCCTGAAACATCAAGTTAGTGAAGCGAAACAATTTGGAGGAGGACAAATTGTCAGATCTAAAGCAAACTTTACTTATTCAGCCTCGTATTCAAACGAAAAAGTACAGGGAAAAGAAAGAAGGGAGCAGGTTATTGAAAATAACGTTAGGAGAAATCGGCAAAGAAACAAAGAAAGTGAACCGATTTATTTTCCAGATATACGACAGAAGCCAGATCACATGATGTGGAGATATTAAAGATATTGACAAAACAAATATGAAAAAAGATTTATGTCCATAAGGGAGATAACAACTGAACCTGACAAAAAAATCAGTGTGATATCAATTTGAAAAAAAAGTGTTCATGGTTTTGTTGTATATGAACCCATACTAGCCTGGAAATAACTTTTAGATAGACATACATTTAGCAAAAAATCGTCCTACTGGCTAGGGATAAGTGATTCTACAATAAAGCATGTATGTCATTCGATTTCTATTCATCTTGATCACATATATACGGCTCCGTATAAAACGGGTTTTAACGACCCTGCATATATTTTGATTTGACGTGCAAAAACATAGCGTAAAGACGCGCTAAATGTTAGCGTCATTCTATAATCACATCAATAATAAAGTTATACATTTTCATCATTTTGGATATGTGATAAACAGAATACTACCGTGTAGCTTCATTACTAAAATTTATTGAACTCGTTGAATTAAAGATTCTTCTGCTCGCCAGGGGCTCGCATGATATAATTCTATTGGACTCGTTCAATAACTTCATTATTAATCAATCATTATATCTTTAAGACAAAATAGAATAAACATGCCAATAAAGCTGTTAGCCGATTACATGGTAATGTAAAATGAATATTTTTCTGATTACTAGGGAGTGTGGTAAATGTTAGTATTAGACACTATTATTATATCAAACTAGATGATCCTAAGAATATCTTCAATTAGACTTTATGGTTATGGCTTTTGGCCTAGCTTTATACATGTACTGGTTGAAAAAGCTGCTATAGGTTATAAGCTCAACAAACCCTAGAGATGCTATTATTTCATACAGATATATTTAATTTTATTTTGTTTTTAAAACTTGTTTTTTTTTTATTTGACACGAATGATAAAAGAATAAAAAGCTGAACAAAAAGGTTTTGTTTAAAAAATAATCGAAACACTTCTCCCAGTATGATATCAGATACATAAATCTGTTTCCCATTGTATATGTAAATGGTTTATAGCACATTGTTCAAATAATGTTAAAAAGTATTAATAATTCAGACGAGTCTATGAAAACAACCGATTACATGCCTGACAATAAATGTTAAAACCGCTGGTGGCAGGAGCCTGTAGAGCTATTTTATCTAAATCAATGGAGCCAATAAAAAATATTGAATAGAGCACTGATATAGACGTACAATGATTTTTAAATGAGGGATTGACGTGGTGATTAGGAGCTCTGTTACAGATAAATTGACTATAAATATTTGAGAATACGCCTTTGGTAGTTTTAAAAAGAGAGGATTTTGTAAAATTGATTCATAATTAATTCATTTGTCGCTTGAAATTCAAAGCAACTTTTGATTGTTTGAGTTGTTTGCAATAATTTTCTGTGAATTAAAATCTTTATATCAGTGATTTCGTTAAATTTCAATGTTAAATATTTTCAGACATTAACGTAAATGTAATAAAAACGTTTTACGTACGCTGCATATTTGTTCATCAATGCAATGTTGAATAAAGTTTATAAAACATTTAAAAAATGCAAAACGTGCATAAAACGTCGAATGCCACTACAGCCCACAATCTATTGGTAAGGTAAAACTCCATTTTGATACTAGGGATAGTGGTTTCGAGCCCTACTCGGAACAGTTCAGAAACAAGTATAAATTAATTTAGGATGCTTACTGATTTATATCAAATACTTTGTAAAATATACATAAATCCGGTTAATACCGGCAAGTACATACTATCTCCCATGCATAGATATTATCTTTTCTTCGACCTCATGTCATTCTTTGATATAAAAATTAAAGATGATTAGAAAAATCATTTTCTTGAATAAATAAATATCTTAGAAATAAGCTCTATAACATGACTGTTGTGTGGCCTTAACTAAATTATATATCTGAAGTACTTAAAAAAGCAATTTTGAAATCTGAGTTGGAGTCATCAGTGGGTCACAATAATATTTCTTATTTGAAACCAGTGCTGGTATGACAGAAGCTGATTCAAAAGTTATTTGAACAAAATACAACATTCCTTTCAGAGCTAAATATGATGAAAGAAAAAACATAAGTCTTCCATCACGTCAGTTTGCGATTATATGCCTAGTATGTGTGTTATTTGTATTTGCTTTGTACTGCTTTGCTTTACAGTTTTACTTATTATGTTACCTTGAATAAATATAGAAATAACTGCTTCAATAATTTGTTTGCAAAGCATGATACGCTCTTGATGAAAATAAATGGTAATTTCGATTCCTCGGGAAAAAATCAAGTTATTTCCCTTTGAACATTTTAATGTATTCAATGTTTACTATTAATCAGTTTTCACCACTTTTTATTTCACTTATTTACAAACATGATCGGTATATTGTTTTAAAGAGTAGCACTATAAACTTGAATAAATAAATATAATACACTCAACAGATACGTTTCAAAATTGAACAGAAAAAAATACAATGCAATCAAAGATCGAAAGAGTGATTCCATTCAAATTGTTTGCTGACATTTTGTCTAAATGAAAGGAGTCATGTTTCAATTTTTTAAACAAAATGGCGTCATGCACTTGATTTTAATTTTGCTTCATGAAGTTTTCCTTTTATTTATATTTTAAAATTTTACAAGGATTCTTAATTCAAGGTTTGTCGACAATATACTTAATTATCAATTAGAATGATTACCTCATAATGAACTTGTTCATCAAAAGCCGAAACATTAGGGAATTATTCAAGCCACGGATACTGCCACAATGTTACAGTAGTCGCTGACCATAAAGGATCGCTAAATATCGTAAGTGAAAACACTTAGTAAATAACAAATTGAATTATTCAATTTGATAAAATAAATTTATGATATTTTACTTTTTTAAAATGATGCTATGATACACAAAAAGCAAAAAAAATCAGTAAGTTAAATGGAAAGAAATGAATACGCGCATATGATATTAATTCGTATAAATTTTCGCTAAAAGTTTTATAATGCATTATTGCATTCCTTGCTAATTAGTAGTTTAGTTTAAACATCGTTTATTTCAAACAAGTATACACATTCACAGAACCGTTAGGTGGTACTTACATAGATCTTATCCTAATATTAATTTGCTAAATAATGGCAGTGTGTAAATGTATGTACATGTACTTGAATATGTTAAAAATTACGGTGAGTTAATTTTTAATTAGAAGAATTTTTATGTTGTATACAAAACATATGAATATACATTTGGTTGGCAGAACTTGTTAATACTTAGTAACGACTTACATATAAAAGTCGCTTTCAAAACGGTATTATATTCCTGTGATATAAAGTGGTGAATGTCAGCGTAATTTTGGCATTATCTGAACTAAATGAAAAATGTGTTTTATAGAACTTTATGCATGTATTGTATCTCGTGTTTTTTCTTGTTATATTTCAGGATTGTTAACAGAGATTAAAGTATGACTACCTCATACAGCCATTATCCACCCCCAATTAAAAAATTCGGAGATGGCAGTACATTTGATAAGGCTGCCTATGCTGCTTATGAAGCCGTTAAATCCGAAAGAGATGCTCTAAAGGAGATTGAAAAAACCTCTAAACGTAGAATAGAAGCTCTTGAAAAAGAGACTGCGGACTTGCTATCCTCCTACCAAGGAATATATGATGAAAACAGAGTACTGCGTAGTAAAGTTGAGCATGGTCCAAATGCACAGAAAATTCGCAATTTCCGAAATGAAATTAAACGATTAGAGGAAAAGGTTTCAGCACAAAGAACTGAAAATAATATGTTAAGTGAAGAAATTGCATCGTTGCAAAAACAATTTAATATCATATCTGAGGAAAAGAAAAGAATTGATGATGCCTTTAAGATGGAAAGATCGTTGCATATTGAGAAAACGACTAACGCTGAGGAAGAAAATAAAGATTTATACGCAAAGATAGAGAGATTAGAAAGACAACAAGAAGAATATGAAAGAAGAGTAAAGAACTATGACGAGGAATCTGAAGGGCTACTTAGTAGATACAAAGAACTTAAACGAGACAATCTTAAGATGGAGACGAAATTCAAGAAACAAAAGGATATGGCAGAAGAAGAAATTCGTGAAACGAAAGAGTTAAACAAAGAAATGGCTAAAGAAATAATTGTGCTTAAAACAAGACAAGCTAAACTGCAGGCAGAATTTAATTCAGTAAAGTTGGATTACCAGGCGGCCGAGAAACAAATAGATTATCAAAATAAAGAATTAGATGTTTTTAGAACCCAATCTCAACTTTTGCATAGGAACGTGAAAATATCTGAACGTGAATACAACTCAATGAAAGAAGAGCTACAATCAGTTGAAGAAATGCTTGTTGACGCAAGGAATTTCGGCTTTGAATCTGTCATTGACGAAAGAAGAAACCTGAAAAAGAAAGAAAGAAAGCAATTTAAACGTATCGATGATTTAGAATTGCAAGTAGAAGAATTAACTAGGGAAAATAATGACTTAGAAAAAGAAGCAAACGAATACAGGCGTAAAATGGAAGCAGCAATCATTGAAAGGGAAAATCTCCTTTTTGCAGAGACAACTTTAAAACGAAGAATAGAAGTATTAGAAAATGCAAATATTGATCTGGACAGGCGAACAAAGTTTATGTCTAGCAAAAGCAAAACGGGACTGGTTGTTAAAATGCCAGACGAGAATATCAAGAACTTGGAGAAAGAAAAGGCTTCTCTATTTGCAAAATGTCGATACCTCGAGACACAGAATAGGCGTTATGCAAGGCGTATCAAAGAACTAGAAAATGGAATGGAAATTGATGACTTTGATAATGAAAATGCATCTCGTCTTTTCAAATCGAGAGTAACATCGGACCACGTGCTTCATGCCGATATGCCAACTTTGTCCAATAGAGATCCAAAATCATCATATCGACGAAAAGCCAAACTCCCTAGATCACTTCCAGCTCCTTCTGTTTGAACATATATTATCGTTCATTGTTATTACACTTGTAATGATATCATTATGTTTTATATTTTGGCGTCACGTTGCTCTGACCCGAATCTACAAACAATGTTTTTTGTAGTTTTTAAGCTTTTGAATCATCCGGAATGCAATATTCAACAAAAGTGAATTGAAGAGATTGCATTAGCCAAACTGTCGAATAAATTAAAATATATCAATTTGTTTATCTATTTATGCATAATTCATATATTTTATCACGCAATGTCTGGCGAATTCTTCGTTTATAATTATCTTTAACTGATATTGCAAAATTTGACATATGATTTGAAAATAAAAGTATATTTTTTGTTACCAAAAAGAGCATGAAAAAGTACTCGAACGGGCGTTAACCTGACATTTTCTTCACAATATAAAACAATACGAAAGTTAGATTGCCATCCAATGAATTAAAGACACCGAAATGCCTTGGTGTTTGGGATTTACGCTTTATTAGTCGCCGGTAGAAACCGGCGAATATATTTGTAGCAGTTTAATATTATACCTATGGTAGGAGAAGCCCTTAAAATCTGAAAACAACAGCATATCAATCATTGAACAATTAAAGACAAAAATTATTTTTCAGTAATCTCACAAATTCAAAAATATGGTAACTTTGCTCAGTGAAATGAAATATGTACATATTAACATCTTAAAAAGCAACATTACAATTTTCATAAAATGAATCAATAACGTATCCCCAAGGATCAGTCATTGAATATTAGGGTTACTTTTACTTTTTTCTATGTGTCAAGCATTGCTACTTTATAATATATAAATCATGAACGATATTTGAAATGACACTTTAAAATTATTTGGTTGTTTATATTTTATGAGACCTATTATATTACATTATTTTATCTAATTGTAAACAAATTCTATTACATAAGTAATTTTTCATTAATCAGTTTCATACTTTATATCATTAGAAAAACCTGTTTACTCATAATTTACACATTAAAAATAAATTTTCAAAACCTTTTCCTTTCTTCTTGGTAAAGGGTTAAACTTGGCCCTTTCTGTCAAACTTTCGACAAGAAAGTTCAAAAGTTTAGTTAAGGTTGATCATCCCAAAACAATTTTATGCCTAAGAGGCACATTATTGAAATAGTTGATTTCGGTATATTCCGTCGGTTTACGTCACGCAGGTTTGACGTTGGGGGTCCGAATCGTATTAGATACATATAAAGAAAATAATAAACTATCTTTGTGTTGATAGTTTATAGCACTGAAAGGCAATTGATATATCGTATGTAACAATGGAAATACATGTATTGATTTCAACTAAATTATATATTTTTCTATAGCTTATAATAATGATGTGCAACACTTTTACAGTAAAATTGTATTGTTTCATGAAATAATTAAACATATAGATCTATATTTTCATAGTCACTTTGCAAATATTCGATGATCGGTAATTATTTGTCGGTAATTATCTGAATCAGAACTAGTAACCTATACAGATTTCAATGTATGGTACAAAAGTATATGTATAAAGTACAATTTCAAGAAGAATTACAAGCATAGCGCTTGCCTTACAAGCCTCCTCAACTCGTTGTTCATCTTATTTTTATACTTGAACAATTAAACTTATATTTTCTTATATTTATGATAATAGATCTACAATCATTTTTCTATCCGGCGACTTGATGTTATAAAGCATCAAATTCTCTACTTGTTGATATTTGATTTAACAAACGATAATACTACAATCATGATGGCATTATCAATTCAAGTCAGAAGAGCATGTTAATAAATATGTAGCCTCCTACACAAACGAAGTAAATAAATAGAGGATTTTTGTTTGTTTTGCATGTAAGATTGAAATATAATTTCACTGAGTGAACACCAGATGCAATATTTTCACGAGTGACGTAGCCACGAGTGAAAATATAATAGCTTGTGTTCACGAATGAAATATATTTCAATCTTATATGTAAAACAAATAAATTTTTCTTTTCATTTCATGCTTTTTAAGTGATTTTTTTACTGATTTCGCCGCGTAACGTCGCGCATTCTCCTTTGTGACGTCATCACATCATGTCGTCACATCATCAATTTTGAAATGGCTGTGACTAAAAAAAGGATTGGAGTACCACACTAAATACCGTATTCCGGTATTTACCGGACAAGGCGCTTGAGTGATAAAATGCTTAAATCTTGTCTTTTTACCCAACGGAATGAACTTTAACAGGTCTAATTCATCTTTTCACATCGAATCAAGTACGATAATCAAGGAAAAATGTAAAATTCGGCAAAAAAACAATATTTGTCTATTTTGTGATCATGATTTCTGCAAGCGTCTACAGGTACTGCTCAAATCCTGTATTGAGCTAAATCCTTTTGAAATATAGTTGTGTTAAATTTCTCTAATTTTGTTACATTTTTAACATGATGTATGATGACATCGACTTACTTTTGCTAAAGAAGCAAAATTTACGCATGACAGCATTTATCTTTGCCTGTTATTCCAATTAGTTATGATTTTCTTTTCATCCGCATTCAGATATAGTCCGGCTACAGTGAAAATTATATTTTATAAATTTCACTAGTGGTTTATCAGAATATAATCACCTGATATATTACAATAAAACACTGGAAAGCATGAAATAAATTTTGTATAATCTAAATGTTTTTCATTCTCTTTAAAGTATCGCAAAACATCTTCTTACACACACGCGCGCGCGTTGTTGATTTTTGCTTTTTTCAAAAGATATCAAAATAGATCAGAGGAAACATCTGTATTTCAAAGATGAATATCACTTATATACCCAGGTATATCCTTTATTTAAACAAAATATGATGAAACACGTACAGTATATACATTGTTGGGCATCCGAGTGGTTAAGGTCGTTGAATTCAAACCATTTGCCCGTCACTGATGTGGGTTCAAATCCCGACAGGGACTTTGGATTCTTTCGTGTTAGTAAGCTTTCCAGAAAGCTTACGAAACGTTGACTATATGATCTTTACTCCTTTGGTGCGACGTAAAATCCAACCCGAAAACACGTGTGGGGGAGGGCATGGAGTTTGGTTGTTAAAATTTTGCTCTACAAAGGTAAATGTTTTAGGCATTGCCAATTTCGTGAGAAAACACACTGTTGTTGTAAAGAGGTAGTTGCTCTATAGAAGGTATTTCATCAAAGGTTATACTGTACATCCTTCAACGCTGGAAAAGAATCACGGGCTTTACATTCCACGGAATTCCGCAATACGTTCCTTTCTAACGTCACGTGAAACGAGTGAAGATAATTTGTTGAATGTCCAATTTGTAGATAGATTTAATGTGAGATCAAAGTTTGCGACGGTTTGTCACGACAGTGGTATAAAAGTGCTAAAACTTAATAATCTAACTTTCTAAAAACAAAAACATATTTGTAATGTATTATATGTGTTTCTAAACTTGTGGTCAAAAGAAAGCTCACAAAAGTAATATTTATACTTATAGGTTATCAATTCTAATGCCTTTTTAAATATATTTACTACGTTCAAATCTCAAAGGGGCTTTTGATTCTTTCATGAGAGGAAGCTATCCAGCTAGCCTAAGTAACTTCGGTGGTTCTACTCAGGTGCCCGTTCGTGCCTGAAATAATGCACTGGTTCCTCAACCAGTTAAGCTGGAAAATAGCTTTATTGCCTATACTGTGTTAGTGCGACGTAAAACCCAACCAAAAACATTGGGGGGGGGGGGGTAGATATTTGGGTTGTTACTGAAAGTTTTGCTTTACAGCGGTAAAATGTATTGTGAATTGTTATTTAAGGATGAAAATATACTTCATATCCCAAAAGTGATATTGATCTAAAGGCTGCAATTTGAATGATTTCGCCGTTTTCCGCATAAAGCAAAAGATATACCGAAATGACAATTTTTTATACTGCAATCGTTCTGATGAACGCCAACGCCTGTGCTTTAATTAAGTTCAGGGTCTAACTTTGATTTTTCGAAAATAAAACTACAAAATTAACATATTATACTTCTTTGTTTTAAAAATGCTGCGCTCAAATTAAGTGTCTAATAATTAAGTGTCTGATTACATACAATTTTTTTACTTACATCAATTTTACGAAACGACATGTTTTGCTTATTACTTTGCATATTTTCTTTTATATCTACCTATGTGTTGTCTCCCTTGCACTAAAAAATAATACAACCAAATCAACATTATTTTTATACTTTATATTGATATAGCTTCTTTCCTATTCTCTCTTCTTAGAAGTGTCATTTTGGCTACTTATAAAACGGGATAACTCGGATACAAGGGTGGGTCCAGCGTCGCCTTGATTGGCGAGAGAGGTGTAAAATTTCATTTAATTTAAAAAGTTATGTTATTGTAAACTTTCTCAGGTCACCAGACACCATTCGTATCCGTTCCGTGTTAACTGATTTCGGTATGACATTTCAAATTCAAATTTGTATTGAATTCAATTATCTTACATCGGTTGTATAGACATTGTCTACGATCTTTTGTATGACCTCTCGTTCATTATATATCAGTTGCGCTATCAATGAAAGAAAAAGAATTGACAACACACCTTCATCTAAATATAGAAGATTGATAAGATTAGATACAATAAAACTGCACGTTTGTAACGCCGATTTTTATTGGACAATCGAAACGTTTAAGAAATCATGAATTTATTTCTTATGTAATGAAATATTATTACGAAACTGTAAACAAGTGTGCAGTATATAAATCGTAGCAGCACGGGTCATATATGTTTTGTCATAACAGTTTATACTTGGTCATATCACATGAAAATGATTGAACTATATAATATTAAAACATTTAAATATACATGTGCGTATATTTAATCAATTTTGTCGGCGTATAGATGGTATCGCATTCTACTGAAAGACTTCTGTATGTAGTAAAATCAAGGATCAACGTACGTATCTGGTTGGTCGCAATTCCGTTAGATAAAGACCTAAAGTTTTGCCCTTAGTCATAGACTTGTGAATCAGGAAGCAAATATTCATAGTCAAATTTAACAGGCCTCTCTTCAAAATTTACATGTTGTTGTTTATTTCCCTTTGGAATACTTTTAAAATCCTTTGTGAGTCCCATACTTTTGACATTTTTACGTGCAATTTGATGTTCTAATTTCTTGATTACTTTCTTCAATGTATCATTTTCAGCTTGAACTTTTTTCACCGCTTCTCTTTCATTCGAATTTTCAAATTCTCGAAGAGTGTGTTTCAGAGATTCATTTTCTGTCCTAAGTTTCTTTAATTCTGCTTTAGACCTCTTTTCTTTTGTAATTCTATCTTTTTCTTCAGCTTGACTTGTAGGTTTAAATTTTTCTTGAAGAGCTTTAAGTTTGTCTTGAAACTTATCACTTTCATTTTGCTTTTCAATTATTTCTTTTTCCAGCCTTATAATTCTTTTCTTATAACCGCCTTCTGCCTCCCTTAGTATCCTTCGATCTTCGAAAACTCTACTGTATGGTTCAAGAAGCGGGTCATTACCTGTATCCATTTTCCGTCTTAATCTTTCATTATCCTCGTACAACTTTGTAAACTCTCCAAGTACTCGTTCAACTTCTTGTTCCAGCTCTGCTATACGTTTCTCGTATTTTTCATTTAGTTCTAGAAGATGCGCCCTCTCATCCATAAACCCTTCATATTGCTGCACGTTCATGATCTTGATTGTTGGTTTATTTGACTCAGCCCCGTTCTCTAAAGTTTGTTTTTTCACATTCTTCTGCCTCAGATTACTTAAAGCTATTTGGTTCTTTTTAACTTTCCCTGATTCGAGATCTTTTGATTTTTCCATCCAAGTCTTTTCGTCTTCAAAATTGTTTGACTCATGTTTATCGTGTGAAGTATTGTTTTCCTCGTGTTTATGCTTAATCACTAAAACATCTACATCTTTTGGTATCGGTTTTCTTTTAGACTTCGGTTGTGTTTTTAATTTGTTGTCTTCTAAAGAGGGTATTTTATTAAACTTTGCCCGAAATACTTTGCTCTTTGCAGGTATGGTGCTTGCAGCATTGCTCATTTTTACGATCTGAAATTCAAAAAGTGACGACAATTTGAAAAGGCAATATGAGTTTAAGAATGCTAACAATTCTTCGACAGTATCAAAGCGAAATCACAGATAATAGTTTATTTTATTCTTTCCAGTGTTTTACTGTAATATATCAGATGATTATATTCTGACATACCATTTGTGAATTTTATAAAATATAATTTTCACTGTAGCCGGACGAATGCGGATGAAAAGAATATCATAACTAATTGGAATAACAGGCTAAAGTAAATGCAGTCATACGTAAATTTTGCTTCTTTAGGAAAAGAAAGTCGATGTCATTAGATCTATATATCATGTTATAAATGTAACAAAATTAGAGAGAATTAACAGAACTGATGATGTGACGTCATAAAGTGATGACGACATAAAGGAGAATGCGCGACGTTACGCGTCAAAATCAGTAAAAAAATACTTAAAAACACTAAAAAGGGTGAAATAGACGCAACAATTTATTTTACATATAAGGTTGAAATATATTTCATTCGTGAACACCAGCTATTCTATTTTCACTCGTGACTACGCACTCGTGAAAATATTGCATCTGGTGTTCACTCAGTTAAATATATTCAATCTTACCTGCAAAGCAAACAAACATCCTCCAAATATTCAAGTGTAAAGACAAAAGCTTTTTCTGTATTATATGAATGAGTATACAATATCGGTGTATCTTAATTGGTTATTTTATTACAAAGTTATGAAAAATTAATTGAAACATAAAGATTTCTACAAGGTGTATACTTTATAAAGAGCTGTCACAGGGTGAGAAAAATGGGCAGCCAGACCGGGACTCAAACTAGGACCCATTGAACCGTGACACACTCCCCTGCTATATCGAAATTCGTCCTCATTTTTTTACGGCTACATAGCAATGAGAATTAAACTCCGAGCTATAGTCAGTCACGGTCGAATGTTGGGCGCCAAATGTAAATGTGATGCGTGACCTCGACTCGAACCCCGGCACCCCCAAGACACCGTTCCGCGGCTCTACAGACTGATCTATCCGGCGGCTTACATATATTCTTCCCTATAAAGTGAACAGTTCTGAACCGTGACAAGCGCTTGACAAAAAGATTTGATGATAAAATGACTTCGTGTATCTAAAGGCGGTTTTAAATATACTGCTATTGAAGTAGTTCATACATCTCGTTTTCTATCTTACGTTTAGTAATTTGGTGTTTTCTTTTGAATTTCGTAAGGTTTGATCAACTAGAATCGACCTAATTACAGAACAAAATGACTTTAATAAAGATATGTATATTGTTATTTTTTTTACCAAATGTAAGGCTACATATGAAAATCTTACTTGATATTCACATCCAAGCTCAACAATGGCAGCCCGTTTAACTTTCTCGCGGAATAATGTAAAAATGAAACATTGAGTTATTTTTAAACTATCGACTGATATATGAAATCGTTATACTTCTCCTTTTAAATTTGAAATTTGATATCATACTTTTAATTGAACGCTACTGATTCGTTAAACTTTCTTTGTAATAAACCGATCTTAAAAAAAAGAAAAACCTTAAGACAAAACAACTTAAGAAATAAAAATACCTGAATGATCGTTAAAGAATGAGATATGTTTGACAAATATTTTTTAAGTTTAAAGTTTAAATCTTAAGATATAAAACCTCATAAGTTGTTATCTTATTACTAATGGAAATTTGGGTAAGTTTACTTTGATATATATGTAAAGCAATTTTATAATATATATCGTATTTTTAACATGATTTTGTATAACTATTAAGATATAACAGCTAATATATAATTGTGGATTTATCATATGCATTTTTTTCTTGTTTTCTTCTAACTTTTTAGGTATTTACATTTAACGTTTTTATATATAAGTATCTTGTAAAAAATACAGGTGGAACTCGTAAAGGATGTCATACGAAAAGAAATTTTGTGATTGTCAACCATCGTCTAAAGTATAAAAAAAAATCATGCATTATTATTGTTTTTCACTAAATGGAAAATTCATTTTCTGTTTTATTTTATTTGCATTTTCAGGGTTTCTTCGAAAATAAAAAATTAAGAAAAAAGGTTTTTTGGGAAGGAAAGAAAGCCCCAAAATCGAAGCCCAAAATTGAGATTTTTTAAAACAAGAAAAAGAAAAAATTTTTAAACAAAAGTATGCCCGAAAAAAGGGGGAAAAAACAGGGAAAATTTGAGCATAATTTTAATTTTATTTAAAAAAAATCTGTTTTCCCAAACTTACTTTAAAAAAAATCAAGCTTTTTTAAAAATCAACTTGATACAGAAGAACCATATGAGAAAATTTACAATGAAAGAAAACAAGCTTATGTCAGGAAAACGCGGAAAAACACTTTAAAAAAATTAAACACCTTGAAAACGAACTATTGAGAAGAGAAAAGAGGGAAAAAAATGATCAGAAATGCTTGAAGCGAAAAAGTAGAGACAGAAGGAAGGAGAAGACCTTCTTAAAGACATAGAAAACACAAAAAAGATAAAATTAAAAAAACTTGAAACTGACAAGAGAGAAAAGCAAGAAGAAAAAATAAAGGAACTTGAAACTGAGAGAGAAGAACTCGAAACTCAGAAAGACGAGCTACAAAAGAAAAATGACGAATTTGAAGATGAATTTATCAAAATGAGAGAAGATTTTGCCAAAATAAAGGCTGAGAAGGAAGATGTTTTAGTAAACATTAAAAAGAAGAGAAAATAATGACCAAATTGAAACGGAAACAGGGCAATAACATTGAAGGATCTTTAAGGGCATCGAAAAAAAACGAAAATCGAAACCAAACTCCGATTGGAATGCTTATTAGAAAGTGAAGCATTGAAGTCTGAAAATGAGTCTTTATTCCGCGCTAACGAAGCAAAGAAAGACGAGATAAATGAAATTCAAAAAGAAGTTGCCAGTATAAAAAAAGAGTTGCAACTAGAACAACTCAGATATCATAAAATAAAGCAAGAATGGGATGAGGAAAAGAGTAGGACAGAATTTGTACTAGTTAGCAAATCTGCTAAAAAGAGGCACCAAAGGGGTTTAGAATCATCTTTAAAGGAGGAAAACGACTCGGAGGATGAACATGTTGTCGGAGTTTTAGAAGCTGCTAAACTGGAAAAAGAATCTATGATTGCAAAGGAGAATGAGCTTAAGAAACGCGTGAAGCAACTCCAAATTGACAAGGATGAACTTTTCAGGTCTGGAACAACTTTGTTCGCTGAAAATAAAACTTTGAAATCAAAGTATGACCAAATTATAGGAGAAAGATCGATGCTCCTTCAGGTGGAAGCAGCTCTAAAACGGAAAGTGAAAGAACAGGAGGATGAAATGAAAGACTTAAAAAAGACTATCGATGATTTATATTATCAGAACATGGCGATCAGAACAAATGAAGAAAACGAAAATAAAAAAAGTTCATATGTAGTTCTTATGGGTAATGAGATGATTAAAAAGCTTGAACGCGAGAAAAGCGCATTACATAGACGAGTAAAGTTTTTGGAGAAAGAAAATAATGAAATTGAAACAAGAGTTGTAGAATTGGAAAGACAGTCAGCAGATCTTGTCAACTATTCAAAAAAGTATGACAAATATTCCACATTTCCAGAATCTAATAGAAGTAGAGACAGCAGTTACATAGAGAAACCGTGGTCCCGGGGTCGAGATAATAGAGATACCGTAAGGTCACATGATCGTGAAAATAGAGACACAGCAAGGGGACAATATCATCATAACAAAGAAACTCCACGTTCCCGGGAAAGGGTAAACGATAGGACAAGAGAGCCTCCTAGCGATAGAAACCCGCATCGTTTATCTGGTCGTGATCAAGGAGGAAGAAGACACCTTGACCAGCGCCCACCATCTGAAAAAATGATGTCGTTTCACGAATACAGAGAAAAATCAAAATACGGAACAGGTGTTCCAACAAAAAGCCCCGATTACTACAAAAATAACATGCCACCGTTCGCTAACGCTCCTTCAAGACAGCCAAGTATGATGGCACCTCCAAGCATACATTCCGGGCAAGGTCATGACTCGAGGTTTTCATTTCCTCCACTAGGATCTCGGACTGCCCGCTCCCCGAGACATGGACATTAAGAGTTCTGCTAAACAACATCGAAGAATGTATTAACTTTTAAGCAAAACAAAATTGATTATAAATGTCGTATTGAACATTCATAACATGGAATGTTTTTAGTTTAATTTTAGAACTTACTTATTAGTTAAACAACACATCCTTCAAAAGTTATCAAATTTATATAGTCGTTATAGTGAAAGATACTCACTCCACTCTTAACAAGTTATACTCGTACATAAGACATGTAAATTGTTTTGTTATCTTCATTCTGTTACAACATTCCATGTTAAATACAGTCATATTTGTTATTTTTGTTAGATACAAATTCGTCTCATGTGTTGATATTATATTAGTGGATCTATTTGTTTTATATGTATAGTCAAAATCTACATAAAATTAAAACATGCTTATATTTGAACTACCCTGTCTTTTTTGTATATCAAGAATTAGTGTCAAAATGTTGTATATCGCAAAAATTATTTGCATATGTGTGTTAGTAATTAAAAAGGTACATGCAGTTTGATAACAGTAACTCAAGAGTATGGATAAATAAGATATTTTAAAAGAACCGTTATAGACATGTAAAAGATCAAAAACTTCTTTGACTGCTTTCAAAGTTGTGAACTCTTCTTAATCTTACAACGAAAAAGATCATCGGTGTAAGATGTTTGACATATCAATGTGTATTTGCATCATAACTTTAAGAAAAATAAAACACACATAAAATAAATAGTCAAAATTCCTTTTCTTCATTTGTAAATTATAAACTACAAATTCTATGCATAACAACGATAACCCTTAACCTGATTAAGTCAAAAATGCAACCAGTGAAGGTAAATCTATGAAAAATGTTCAGCAGTAGGTTAAGTAATAGAAAGAGCATCGAAACACAAGGCTATCTGATTTGTACTAGGGGGCATAGCCCCCGAGTATCATTCAGATTGCCGAGTGTTTTGATGTTCTTTCTCTTTTGTATCATAGTCAAACATAAAAACACGTTCCCCGTTGTCACAATACTAAACCCCAGAAAAAAGTAACCAATGAACGAGCATCTGAATATGATATTTCTATCGCTTTCCCTTGCTCTGCCGTCAAAATAAGTAAACCCCAGCAAAAAAGAGCCAAACCATGGGCATACTCTGGAGTGCGGGTAATTAAAACCTGCACTCCAGTTAACGCACTGTGCATGTATATGCATACGATTTAATCCTGACTCATTTTCAACAGAAAGTAACCAAACTATGATACAAATGATATGAAGAGTGACAAAACCACAAGTAGGTGTTTGCAGTATTTATAACTTTATATGACTGCGTTTTTGGGGTTTAAACTGCCATTATGCTCGTGAAACTGTAAATTACTGTGCCTGTGTCCATCACAACAATACATAACACGGACTGCAATTATTCTATAAATATACACTTCGATCTATTGGGAAATTATTTTATATGAAAAAAATAAGATGAATGTTGTATAAATGTTATATGAATGTAATGTTACATTACAAAAAGTGAAACAACTTATAACTTCATCGAATTCTCGCGGATAACTCGGTTATCCGAAACACTGCTAATTTGCATTCGCAGCGCAAACCTACAAATATTACAGATTTACTTACATGTTGCAAAAATAAATCATTGTCTAAAAGTTTTTACTGTTTCTACGGTTTATTTGCTATTTATTTTGTTTAGCAGTGTCAATACAATTAAACTACATATGTATAAACATAAACACCTTCCTTTATTTTTTCATAAACGTTTACTTATATAGATCTGTAGAACCTTTTATAACTATAATTTTATTAGGTACAGCTTTTTAGCTGCGAAAGGAAAAGCAATGAAAATGTCCGAATAATCAAGTAGGTTGATATACGTATCAACGAGATAGCTCTAATAACCCTTCACAATTTACTTTATTAAAACAAAAAAAAAGTATCACACAATTATAAAGGAGTAACTTTAAATTACAATGTACAATTTTAATATCAGTGAATCGGACGTTTGGGTTTGTGCAGCTAAGCTCAGATCAGATACATGTATAAACTACAGATTATCAATCGTGCACTGTAACACCGCACTTTGGGGTCAAACGCACTTTGGGGTCCGACCCCAAAGTGCGTCAAACTTCGCACCGCACTTTGGGGTCAAACGCACTTTGGGATCAAAATCGAGAAATTGACCCCAAAGTGCGTTAATATGCTACATATCAACGCACTTTGGGTTCAGAGGTGTCATCTGAGTTCTGCTTAAATACTGAGTACTGACTTATTTTCTATCTGCGACATTGGAATATTTGAATTGGAGTCCAAGATGGCGGTCAATACTTTATGATGCTTAAGTGATAAAAGTTTCATTAATGTTACCACTTGTAATATCTAAAAATTGTGTTCATATAACAAAATTACGGTGGCATAAAAGTAACATTTACATTTTTTTGTTTTTAGTTTTGTATACATATTTTTTTTTTCAGTTTTGCATTCATATTTTATTTTTGTTTTTCGTACATATGTTATTTTTGTTTTTCATACATATTTTAGCCAATCAAAACAGCCTTCAAATCTCATAACAGCCCATAGTTGAGTATAAAACTAGCAGAGTGGTTAGGTCACATTTCGGCCCATTTTTGGAATCGGCCCAGTCGTTTTCGACAGGGCAAGTCTGGTTTCGGCCGACCCTTTTCGGCCCATTTTTTATATTATATGTTTTTATTTAATTATTGTTTTTATTATTATATACTGTTATATTAGTGTCTAATTGGAAAGGGCTGTTGATTGGTGATCAGTTATTATTCCATGAATATGCACCACTCAACCCCACCCCTGAGAAATTGAGAATTTTGAAACTTAGGTCAATCTCCTTAGCACAATCCAGATAAATGTGCAGAAACTTTATGCCAGGTGTGCCGGCCCAGCCAAAGCTCGGGGTCACAAGCTACAGGTCAAAGGATAAAAGACTTGGTTTTCATGTCCGCTCCTTATCTCCGAAACCCCCATGAAGGATTTTAAGGCACCTTTGTGACAAATGTTAACCACAACGAGACCATATGCAGAACTTTCTTTGGGTTACCGCGGATCTACTAAAAAATGAAAATGTTGGTATTTGCAAATGGCATTTGCAAATGGCGAGGGTACTGTAAATTTACAGAATGGCGAAATGTTTGAAAATGGTGTTTAACAAATGGTGTTAATATCAAAACCTCTACTTTGCAAATGGCGTCATGTAAAAATATGTAGCGAAAAAACAAAAATAAAATATGTACAAAAAACTTAATATATGTATGCAAACTAAAAAAGAATATGATATGCAAAACTAAAATAAAAATATGTATGCAAACTAAAAAAAGAATATGTATGCAAAACTAAAAAAAGTATGTATTCAAAACTACATGTAAAAAAATATCTACGACAAACAAACAAAAATATGTACGAAAAACAAAAAAAGTATAAAAAATACAAATGTCACTTTTTGCCACCGTTCAAAATACTCTAGTACAGAAATTGTGTATTCCCTAGAATTAAAAAGATGCTCGCGAAAAAAGTATTCCCGTTCTGTCGGTCATTTTACTTGATAACTTTTGGTGGCCATATTGAGCCCTATTTTAAAAATGTTTGGAATGAAAAAAAAATGCAGTTAATGTCTTTTTCCAAAGAACTATAAATATACTCTATTGCAATGTTCTGGTGAAATTTTTTTTCGATCGGACTAAAAATAGTGATTTTTACAAAAACATTATTAAGCTTATCAACAAACGTAAGGGTTTTTGTAAGCTCCGTTAACAACCGTTCGCCAGGGACTTTTTTATGGGAAATCTTACATGCTTCTTAAGAAAGAGCAAACATGAATTTTATAATGTTTAAATAATGGTATCTGAGAAATGTAAGATGCTTGTTATCTGAATAAAGTAGCGATAACTGTGATATTATTCGTCATAAAAGAAACGAACACTGTAGTATTTGACTTCCATATAAAATACTAATTCACTATAACTGTACTCATCATTGCCAAAAAGCAACATATGAAAAAGATGGTTCAGGTAATTGGCCAATGTGTATTTTTTGAGATAATTTAGAAGAAACATCATAATAAAAAAGCTTTTAAGAAAACAAATAAAAGCATAATGTGCCTTTAAAACGTTATTTTTAACCCTCGGGGGATCAATACCCCACAATCCCCTTATACCCCCCAAAGAGGAATTTTTTACATTATTCTGAAGCTCCGCTCTTAATGTGCCGACTACTTAAATAGTTTATTTTTAGTACTGCCTGTACGGACTTACTACTTAAAGCCGCATCTACACCAAGTTTTCTTATATGTTCACATTTAGCTAAATTAAATGGCTATTTCAAAGCCATATTATCAGGCACATTTTTACTGAAATGTCTTACCTAGATTTCCCAGAATTTATACCTTTGTCTATGCTAAGACTATCATATTTCTTAAAAATGTGTAAATAAAAATCGGGAAAATAATGCATTTAGCTAAAAACAATGGAGTTAATGAAAAGGTGTACATTCTTTTAAAATAAATGGAAATTTTGATTTAAAAAAATATTTTAGGCTTAATAATTGATACAAATTCTTTATTTAGTGATTTATTTGGTGAAAGTTCTTCACTTTACTAATCAAGATCATTTAAATCCCTATTGATTCTACTATAATTCAGGGCACATGTTTGTGTCTATTCAATGCCTTGATTTTTTGTTTACCATTGGCTTATTTTTAAACATAATGAACTTTAATTTTCTATGAACCCCAAAGTGCGGTCGTTGCCTGATGTTAAAAAAAATGCATATGTACCTGTTTAACGCACTTTGGGTCGAAATTGGACCCCAAAGTGCGTAAACGCACTATGGGTCGGACCCCAAAGTACGTAACGCACTTTGGGGTCGGACCCCAAAGTGCGTTTGACCCCCAAAGTGCGGTGTTACAGTGCACTACATGTATATAGCCAGTAAAAATCATTTATAATGTGCACCGTGAAAAATATAAACTACATTTAATAAATTTTGCTCGAAAGTTCGTCTTCTTTTTGGTTTTTATAAAATATGTTCACTTACACAACTGCACACAGCTGTTAATAACCTCTTAAGTTATTTTAAGATGTAGCATTCAAATTTAGGTTTTACTTAAATCTAATAGCCGGCAAACCTGAATGATATAATTAAAGCTAAGCGGTTTATAACTTATAATGCTTAGCAAGAAAATGTATCTGTGATGTTTAAAAATTCAACCTATCATGATCCAAAAATATGTGGTCGGTTACTTTAATGCATAGAATAAACTAAAGTACATCTTAACTAAATAATTACCAACCGGACAAGCTTTATTAACGGTTGATTCCATGCAGAATTACTTGCAAACAGAATGTTTTATTATTGTTTAGCTGTTTATTAAAGGAGCTCCACTGAGGTCAAAAAGCCTAAAAAGATACAATTTGAAATTATTGCTTAAATCGAGTGGTGCACTTAAAATGGAAAAATCTGCAAAACATAATAACAGGAATTACCTCAGATTTAATTTAAAAACTATTTGTAGCCATGTTTGAGTTGTAAGCGTTGCAACGCTTTAAAAAAAATTTGCACAGCGAAAGTAAATATTCTGGGCAGACGGAGTTAAAGAAATGATCTGAAATTGTGCGTGCACGTTATTATTCGATATCTAATTAAATAGTAAAGTTTTGAAAAAAAACATCTCCAGTCCCTTCATGTTTAAAATCCTCAGTGGAGTCCCTTTAATACATATGCTTGTATCTATTTTATTTAAAGTAAGAAAAGCTAACTACAAGTCGTATGAAGGATTACCGAATTTCAAAAACAATTAAAATTTGTCTAACAACTCAAGCGCCTTGCATTAAGACAATGGGGCACTTCTGTTTTTAAATTTCCTATCAGATCGGATATTGTATTACAAAAAAATTACCGTGACCATGTTTAATATTTGTTGAGATATCGATTAAATAATTGCTTTAAAAAATACAACTTAGTTATATTTTTTGTTATAGTTGGGGGTTTTAACTTTCGGATGTAGTGAGTTATGATGTAAAAGTTATGATGTAAAAGGTAAGTGTAAATAATACATTTACATTTAAATTACTTAAATTTGTATTATCTTATATTCATTCAATATTTCCATTCACCTTTAAAGTGATAGATTTATTTAAATATTAGGACAGAAGGCTCGACTATTCGAAAAAGTTGTCACAAGGGTGTTTTATTGAGTATAATAATGCTTACCTATGAATACATAAAATTGACAGAAAATGTACAAAGGCTTGTTATTAAGATGTTTTATCAAGTAAATCACTGCTTTTTTATTATGAATGCATAAAATTATCCAAAAATGGCACAAACCCTTTAGCAGTTATGGAGATAACAGCTTACAAGCAAAACTTTACCATGAATTTCTAAGTTGAAAAAGGGGAGAAAAATCAGCCTAAATGCAAGATAGAATTATGGATCTTTGTCAGTGATCTACAATTATGACCCTAAATGCATATGTGAAGTTTTAAATAAATATCTTTAATAGTTATTGAGATATGTAAAACTTGCATGTAACCAAGAGACTAAGTAGAAAAGGGGAGATAAATCAGCCTAAATGCAAGATAGAGTTATGGAACTTGTTCAGTGACATACAATTATGACCCTTCATGCATATGTGAAGTTTTAAATCAAAATGTCTGATAGTTATATTGAGATATGTAAAACTTACATGTAAACATTAACCAAGAGACTAAATAAAAAAGGGGGAGATAAATCAGCCTTAATACATGACACAGTTATGAGTGCTGTTCAGAGATCATTATTTCTGACCACAAATATACATATGAAGTTTCATTTGTATCTTTAATAGTTTCAGAGATATGCAAAACTTGCATGTTAAACTTAACCAAGAAAAGGAGATTTTTTAATACAAAAGGGAGCATAATTCAGTCAAAATACATGGCAGAGTAATGAATCTTGATGTGACCTTCAAGTAAATATCTTTGAAGACCTTTAACCTTTACCCAAAATTTCTAAGTTTCAAAGGGGCAAATAATTCTGCAAATATTGCAGGCAGAGTTATGCAACTTTGCAAACTGATGTACATTGTTACTTGCAAAGGTGTAAAAAAGTATTGTAAATTTCAATTGAAAATCTCAAGCAATAATTGAGATATTTGACTTTACAAAAAACTTTAACCAAAATTTCTAAGTTAATAAGGGGCATAATTCTGTAAATATTGTAGGCAGAGTTATATAACTTGTCAATCTGATGTACATTGTTGCTATAAATAAGTATTGTAAGTTTCAATTTAATATCTCAAGCAATAATTGAGATATTTGACTTTACAAAAAACTTTAACCAAAATTTCTAAGTTAAAAAGAGCATAATTCTGTAAATATTGTAGGCAGAGTTATCCAACTTGTCAATCTGATGTACACTGTTACTATAAATAAGTATTGTAAGTTTCAATTGAATATCTCAAGCAATAATTGAGATATTTGACTTAACAAAAAACTTTAACCAAAATTTCTAAGTTAAAAAGGGGCATAATTCTATAAATATTGTAGGCAGAGTTATGCAACTTTGCAAACTGATGTACATTGTGACTATAAAAAGTATTGTAAATTTCAATTGAATATCTCAAGCAATAATTGCGATATTTGACTTTACAAAAGACTTTAACCAACGCAGACACCGACGCGGACGCCGACGCCGGGGCGACTACAATAGCTCTCCATATTCTTCGAATAGTCGAGCTAAAAATGAGCAGATATAATGATAATTTACATTTATTCATTTGCTCCTTTGTCATTTTAGGGAGTATTTAGGGCATATGGCAATAGGTATAAACCACAGAATATGAGTAGCGCCGGTACAACTATGCCCGGGCGGTCATGGGTTTCTTCAAAACCGCCCAATTATGTCACTCAGCCAGGACTTAAAAACGAAGATGGAGACATGCGTGAAAATAGTCCTGACCTTTTTCAAGCCCAACCGCTTAAATATGACCCGACACGACCTGGAGGTACAATATTCACGGGCAGGACTTTAAACACATTTAAGAAGAAAAATGAAAAGCCAGGAATTCTTAAAAAGACTGTAGGAAATGACAATAAAAGACCAGGTGTACGTTTCACAACACATCGAATGAAAAAACCGGACGAAAATTTTCACTACAAAATCTTGGGGAGGGGGTTGTAATTCAAATAAATATATGAAAAGCTTTATGCAGAAAGCGACCTCTTCTAGAATCTGTCGGTATAGGGGAAAAAATCAAACAGTAGAGGAAGAAAAGCACAAATTTTTTTTTAGATTTACAAGAATTTAAAGAAAATAATATATTGAGAGACAAACTAGATAAAGGAGATGATAACCATGTTGAGTCGTACCAAAGAGTATTTGCAGACAGGCAGATACTTAGAGAAGCCGAGACTGCTTATAAACGAAGAATCACCCAGCTTGAGCAAGATGCGAAAGAAATGCTTACTAACTTCGAAACTTTATACGGTGAAAACAAAGTATTAAGGGATAAAGCAAAGAAATTGGAAGAAAGGTTAAATTCTGTAGACAGACTTGATGAAATCAAGAAATTGAATGAAATGGAAAAGAAGTGTAAAGCATTGGAAAAGAATGTAAGGACAATGGGATATGAAAGAGAAGAACTGGTACGTATAAATCACGAGCTTGACAATGAAAAATATAGACAAAAAGAAGAAATTGTGGAGCTAAGGAAAAGAAATAACTTGCTTGAAAAAGAAACTGAAGGCTTAAAAAGAGGGTTCATGGCCATTGGAAAGAATGTTGATGATTCATGGAAAGATGAATTGAAACAAAAGACGAGACGGCAAGAGGAAGAAGAAAGAATTATGCGAGAAGAACATGCTAAATTTAAAAAGGAAATAATCATATTAAACAAAGAACTGCATAAACTAGAGAAGGTAAACGTTGAAATGAAAACTAAAAACGATATGCTTGAAAATGACAAAGCAGAATTTGAAAAACGTATGTTTGAGTTAGCAAGGGAGACTGGACGAAGAACACCGTCTGGAGTAAAGAGGAAAAATGAAGAAATATCTAATATAAAGGATAAAAAGATTGAAGAAATGGCGAGAAGAATTGAAGAGCTCAAAGATGAAAATGTTGAACTGAAAACAAAAACACAGATAATGGAAAAAGAAAAGGAGTCTTTTGAACAAAGACTAGAAGAAGCTTCAACAAGCAAACGTGAGACAGCATCATCTATCCGTAGGAAAATGGAAACAGAAAGAGAAATAAGAGATTTAAATATGCATATTGAAAACTTCAAAGACAAGATCAAGCGTCTAGAGGTCGAAAACACTGATTTGAAAGAAGAAACAAAAAGAATGGAAGTAGAGGCAAAAGCACAAAAGCAAACATCAAAAGCTCTTGCTTCAGGTCAGGCAAACCAGATGGATATTCAAATGAAAGACCTAAATGACAAAATTATTGCACAAAATAACGAAATTAAGATTTTAACTGAAGAAAATCTCAAACTTAAATCAGATTCTAACAATATTGAAGAAAAGCTTCAAGATCAACTAGAAAGCATAAAGAAAGAAAAAGACGCATTATTACAAGAAAAAGAAACACTTCAAAATAATATTGACCAATCAACTACAACTACTTCAGGAAAAATACAGGACCTACAAGATGAGTTGAATTCTTTACAAGTAGATCTTAAATTACTTAAACCTAAATACGAAGACATTCAAAAGCTACATGAGGAGCTTAAGTCTGAACACAAATCTCTGAATGGAAAATATGAGGAAAAGGGTCAAGAACTCGAAAAACTAAAGGAATCTCTAAGAAATAATAAAGACGTTTACAATGAACTGTCAAAGGCCCAAAGAGAAAATGCGACCTTACAAAGAGAATTAGACGGACTGGAAGATAAATTTAAAACAGAGAGGCTGAAACTAGAGGCTGATTTGGAAGAACTCTTGAAAAATCAAGAATTTATGAATACTGCATTATCAGAGCACAAAGTAAGACTGGATATGCTGCAACAAGAGAAAAATGACTATAAAACTGAAAATGTAAAATTAGTTAAGGCTAACGAAAGACAAGCTAAAACTATATCAGATTTAAAAAGTGATATAGATAAAGTTTCAGGAGAAGGCTCTTCACAAACAGCGTCGTTGAAACAGGAATTAGAGACAACAAAAAAACAATTAAAGGAAGCAGAAACTGGACTCATTCAAGCTAAACAAGAAATAGAAATTGCTAAAAATGAAAGAGAGAATCAAGTCAGCAAACTTTTATCGCAAATGGATAAATTAAAATCAGAACGAGAAATTGAGACACAACAGCTAAAAACTCAAAGCGAATCTTTACGCTCAGAGGTAGCTCGTCTCAAAGTATTTGAAGAAAGAATTCAAAATATGGAACATAATTTAAAAGAACTTGTACAAAAGCTGAGAGAATCAGAAGAAAGAAATAAGGATGTCACAAACCAAAAACTGTTTAGTTTACAGCAGGTAGTAAAAGAAATGAAAAGTGAAAACCTGGCTAACCGTATACGAGCAGCTGAGAGGGAACAAAACGAGCTTGAAAAGCATAAGATGGAATTAGAAATAAAGCAGGATGCGATTACTGAAATACGAAAACTGAAAGAAGAAAACGGTAGATTACTCAGTTTGCTTGAAGATAAACGTGCCGCAGAAGAAGCACAAGATGAATGGACAAAGAAGAAAAATAAAATGAATGAGATCTTAGCACAAAACAAACGATTACAAGATGAAAACACTCGACTTCTTGCTGTAGCTGAAGGTGGTCAAACTGAACATTTGCGAAAAGACTTACAGGCCAAAAATGAAAAACTGAAACTGATAGAATCAAAATATCAAGAATTTACTGTAGAAAATGCAAATCTTAAACAAGCTATGGAAGAAAAAGAGAATGAATTGAAAAGAATTGGTTTGAAAGTTGATAGAATTACACGAGTCCAGCATGAGAATAGAAGACTTGTTACGGAGAACCAACGCTTAAGAGATGATATGTTGAAAAAAGATAACATAATAAGTAGTCTCAAAGAACTTGAGACCACAAAAGCAAAATACATAGATTCTGCTGCAAATAATCAAAGACTATATGAAGAAAATAAGCGGCTGAGGGAAAGTATCGAAAAATCAAAAGACTACAAGACAGAGTTTGCGAAAGCCAGGGACCAGGAAAAAGCAACAGCAGCATCATCAGTGAAGTACCAAGAAGAAAATACACTTTTAAAGAACACCCTAAATATAAAGGAAACCGAATTTAAACGCGAACTAGAACTTCATAAAGAAAGAGCCAATAAAATTCAAGCTCGGAACAAACGACTTACCGAGGAAGTTGCAAAACTAAAAGAAAGCATTAAGAAAAAGGATGATTTGATAATAAAACTAAGGGCACTTGAAACAGCGGAAGGAAAACTAAAAGATGCTTCTATAAATGCATTGCGCTTGTATGAAGAGAACCAGCGACTGAGAAATCTTTTAGAAAATAATTCTGGTGGCTGGAAAAGTAATTTTCAAAACGCTAAAACACTTTCGGCAAATAGGTTTTCAGATGCATCAGGACCAACCGCTGCTGTATACGTTGACTCAAACAAGAATAAAAACTCTGCTGATAAAAACACTAGATTTTCTAAAGATAGAACAGATACCATTGACGAAAGAGGGATTGGAACTACGCCGACATATGATGAAGACACAAGAACGAGTTCAAATCTGAAGATTAAGAGATTAACTAAGCTTCCAGACATTACGAAGAGGGAAGGAACAGGGCTACTGACGGGACTGAACTACTCAGAGATGCATCAAAGTATGTATAACAGTTTTACAAGAATTTTGTTTGATGCATATAGATATTTTATTTCCTGCAAAGCAAAGTGAGCCCTTAATCTTAATCTTAAAATCACATATGTATTTTATTAAAATATTTTCAATTAGGTGTTTAAATGATACGTTGATTTTGGTTCTCTCTGCTACGATCTTGATTTCGTGATAAAAATATCGCGTCTGAACTCCAAACCTTACACTTTTCTAAGATAGGGCATTTTATTGATTATTTTGAAAAGAGCATTTATTTGAAACTTACTACATCTTAAGAGACGTTTATACCTTATTCCAGAAACCAAAGGATTGAAAGGAGAAGCGTTAATCATTGCCCAAAACAAAGAGATAGAAGCGCTGAAGGCAAAACTGCAAAATCAGGACAAAGAAATCAGAGCTGCAAAGGAAGAACTTAGCACACGAGAACCCGATTTTCAACGTCTGGTTAATGAACGAGACGGTCTTAAATCAGATATCGTGAGAATGAGAAAAGAACTTGCAATAAAGTCAGCAGAAGACAGTATGAATAGGACTTCACAACTTCAAGAACAGAACAAGCGTCTTGTTCAAGAAAATCAGAGACTGCGAGAGGAAATTAATGTCAGAGACTTACAACTCAGTGAGCGAGGCGCGCCAGGATACAATAAAGCATTTTATGTTGACAATGAAAGCAAAACCACTGAAGAGAAACTAAAACTTGCAATTGCTGAAAACAGACGACTACACGAAGAATGTGGCCGATTACGTGCGGCATTAGATGAAACCCACGTGAATGATACCGGAAGTAGATTTACAGATCCTGAAGTTACCGGTTCAATGATTGAGGGATTTAAAGACGCTAAAACTAAAAGATGGGCAACGCTGCAAAAAGGGGGTAAGATGAAAAAGAAAGAAGCAATCAAGAAGAATTCCAACGAGACTGATGATAATAAATTGATGATGCTAGAAGAGGTTGCCACTTGATTAATAACAAAGTTGCTATAAACATTTATAACACACCTCAAACATGAAAAATGAATTTTAAAGTTAATGAATGTGAAGGAGATTGTTATTGCTTCTGTAAAATTACCGCCATGGATCACATGATCAAGGTTATAAAATCATTCTTGAATTTCAAACTATATGTGCCAAAAAAAGAACAAAAATATTAACACTTTGTAGACTTTTACATCTCAAGCATCCGGGCATTATACAATGCACGTGTCAGTTCTTACATTTTTAATTCATATGATGCACTTAAACCTGAACTATGTGAAACATTTTGTTGTAAAATAGTTGTTGTTTGTATATGTATTGTTCATCTTGTTTTCAAAAAAAAAGAGTTAATTTAATTTTCAAGTTATCTATTAATATCCTGATTGAATGGTTGTAGTACGAAAGAGTTTACTCCATAAGAAGATTTATATGTCAGATGCATAAATAGCAAAGGTACATAATTCGATTAGCGTAATTTTCAATTTGCATTTTTGATTTTGTATCTTTTGGAGATCGACGCATGATATTTAAAGCGACACATATGATCAAACAAATGTAAAGCATAATACTTGGCATAACAATACAATATCAAAATATTGCGGGTTTTTGTCCTTCCATTAACAACGACATAATCATTATCAATTATCGTATCACATTAATAATTATGATGTGTCGCATTCTCATGTGACCTATATTTAGTCGTGACATTAAATAAAAATAAAACACGATGCTTGACAATTGCACATTTGGTCGATATAATATCAAATTGTCAAATGACATGTGTCGCCTTTTAAAATAGACGCATGACATTAACTCGTAAAAACGTGTCATGGCATCCTGTAGGCCAATAAGACTCGACCCATGAAAATGTGACATGGCAAACATGTATGACAATTAAACTCAAAACTTGATATTGACTTGCCAATGTAAATGTCCACACGATAGTACAAAAATGCGCGCTATTTTTTCTTCTTAATTTACTATATTCTATATCACAATGTTATGCGTGCGTTATGTCATATTGTCAAATGATGTGTCACTTCAAATATAATGCGGCATCATTTAAGAGAAGTGTATAAATGACATTCAAAATGTCATTAAACAGACTCGTGAACATTTCATAAGCACAACAAATAAAGACATAAGAAGGGAGTCGTTTATTAGGCACGAAAATCATAAAATTCGCTTTTAAACGAAATGCTCTTGGGAAATGCCGTTTATTTTATTTGGATGAGCTGGAATTGGCGGATATTCGTATAACAAGTAATCATGTGCTTTAAGCTGCAACTGTCTGATTAGCCTCTAATACAACGATATCAAAATTCTGAAAACATTTTAGTGCAAATTTGATAAGAACTGATGAAAAAGTCGATACTATGGGGTTTCATATTTTCTTTTCTTTTTTTTTTTTTTTTTTTTTTTTTTTTTTTGTATGATACCATACCAATGTATTTTATTAGCATTTACATGCTGGTTATTATCATTACTATCATCATCATCATCATCGAATTACACGTGCAGACAATGATTTACATGTATACAGAGCACCGACATATAGAGATAAAACTAACATTCAATTCATATCTTATATATAATATATTTAAACGGTCACACTGTAGATACCGTAGTAAAAAGTTAAAAAGAAGCAGTTTTTATCATTTCAAGTTTATACAAGTAACGTTTTATAAAGCATGTTAAGTAGCACTAGCATGCGCTTTTAGCATTTACATGTTGGTTATTATCAGAGTAACGTTTTATAAAGCATGTTTAGTAGCACTAGCATGCACATTTTAGAAGCATCTCATCCGATAATGGCAAGACGATTAAATTACATTTTCAAATATTGAATTCTATGGAACCACACGTTAAATTTAAGATATACTATTCTCATCTTTGGGTAAAATACTTTTATTGCATAATTGTATTGATATCTTGTAAACTCTTCTTGAATATGTTTCATTTGAAAAAGTGAATGTATAAACTATATTATGGAAGATGCATTCCTTATTACTTGACAAAATAATTTTGCTTATTCTCATAAAAACTGCCAGTTTTTGTTGTTGTTTTTATGACACTATGTAATCACATTGTGATTATCTGAAGTGTGTAGAGTTTAAAACGTACCATATTTTTCTGTGTTTATTCAAAAGATGTTTATTTACATTTTAAGTAATTATGAGGGTTTTTTTTAATATAAAATTTGAACATTATATCTTGAATTAAAGCCATTTTGTAACTGTATGTTTTTTAATTGATGGTACATATCTATTCTCCAGAGAAAGTTGATTTACACAATGTCAAAGTGTCCTTTAAAACACCTTTATTTTCTGATAGACGTAAAACAATAGAGTAATCGCTCAGCCATTGTTCCTTAACGACGAGAAAAAACAATAAGTTAGTAAGTACATACTACTTATGTTTTGGCTTAAACGAGCGAAACTGATACGCATAAGATTTACCCAAATATAAACATATGTTTTTATCTAAACTGGCCGAAAAGCGTACGCGACTATTTTAAAATAGTTTGTGTGTTTTATAAGGGGAATATGTAAGGTAAATATTATATCATATTTGCTATGAATATTCTTAATATGAATAATATCCGTCAGCCACGTTGACCATGATCTTTCTTTTTCCAATAATACATTTAAAATTTATCTTCTGACTATTTTATTTTTTCACGGTAAAATATCATAAATATCTTCTTTAACTAAAACGACATCTCATAGATATAGAGTACATTTTTTAAATCAAAATTACGTGTCATTTATCTTGTAAAAAAGCCCATGCAGTTAGTTGATGCATTTCAGATGTCTGTAAGGTAAAAGCATATAAAGGGTAAATAAACATGGGGAAAAAGGACAGAAGTGGAAACGTTACCCTTGTTGAAACACAGAAAGTAATCAATGTGGAATATCAACTTTTAGTTGCTGAAAGAGATGATTTACTAGAAGCTGAATTAGGGTATAAAAGGCGGATAGAGCAGTTGGAAAAAGAAAATAGTGATACCCTAAAGAGTTTTGACATCTTATACAATGAGAACAAAATACTTCGATCTAAACTGGACACACCTGATGGAGTGGGTGCGGATAGTGTTGAATCATACAACTCGGTGTATAAGGACAGGGAACATCTAAGGGAAGCAAATCGAGCTTTTAAACGACGAATTCATCAGCTTGAAGATGACGCTGCGGAGGCACAGAAGTCCTATAACCAACTCTACCAGAACCACCAACTTGTCACGCAAAAAGCTCAACTTGAAACAGAATTTGCTACGAAAACCCGAGATGAGAAGATCAATGAAATGGAAAAAGAACATGAAGAAATATCAAAAAGACTTAAAATGTTTTTAAAAGAAAGAGAACAATATGAATATAGAATTTCTGAGATGGACAAAGAAAGGAATGAATTGCAAAACAAGTATGATTTTCTCGCTGAAGAAAAACACGAATTGCATATTAGATGTGATGTTCTACAAGCCGATAGAGAAAAGTTAAAGGAGAAAGTCAATGACTTGGAAGAAAAGGTTCCAGATCCAGACGTTAAAGCAAAAGAGGAACAACAATTTCTATCTTTACAGGCACAAGTTGTTGCGCTTCAAGTCAGCAATACAGATGCAAGCAAAGAAATCCACAAGCTTAAGGATGAAATACGAGTACTAAGTAAACAAAAACGAGTCAAAGTTGAAATGACAGATAGAGCATCAAGTGTTATAGTTGACGAGGAAGAAGAAGAAAACGAAAGACAGAAGTTGGTAAGGTACACTGAGGTTGAAGCCGAGCTTGTAGAAAGTCGCCAGAGAGCTATAAACTTACTCAAAGACAATGACCGGTTAAAGACAGAATCAGCTGATTTGGAAAGCAAGGTTGCTAATTTGGAATTAAACTTAAACGAGATTCAAGAAGAGCTAAAGACGAAAAGAGCGGAAGTGGAAGATTTATCTGTTCTAGCTCAAGGAGGACAAAGTCTCAATGAAGATTATTTAGTTTTACAGGATAAAATAAAGGACATTACCGCAATGAAGCAGGCATTAGAAAATGAGCTCATTCAGGAGAAAAAAATATCAAAGTTAAAAATGATGGAACTTAACAAAGATTTAGAAAAAACAAAAGATAAATTGAATGAGACAGAAAAAGTAAAAATGAAATCGGAAGGTGAAAGTAATAAATTACAGAATGAAAATGACACGCTACAAAAAGTCAGTGAAGCACAGGCAATAGAGCTCAGAAATATGAAAGCTCAACTTGAGCAAGTTCAAAATATACTTGAGGATAAAAGTGAAAAATATCAGGAGATGAAAAAAACTGAAAAGGAAAACCAGGAAGAGCTTAGAGAAGCTAGATTACAACTACATATTGTACAACGTGAGCTAGACGATCTTAGAAAGGAAAAGGCCGGTAACTTTAATACTTTGAAAAACGAAATGCAAACAGCCAGAGACGAAAGAAAAGAAGAAACAGAGCAAATGCGGCAAGAAACAATGCGGCTGAGAGATGAAGTAAAAAAGTTAAAAGACTATGAGCATCGAATCACTACCATGGATTCTGAGATAAGGCGATTAATGAATAGATTACGAATGTCTGATCGACTTAGAAAGCTTCCACCAAAACAAGCTAAAATTGATGAAGAGAAGGATGAAATAAAAGAATTAAGAAAACGTCAACGGGAATTTGAAAAAGAGAAAATGGTTCACATACAAGAAAAGCGACAGTGGGAGATTCTGAAAGAGAAATATACAGATTTGCAAATGAATAATCGTCGACTTGTTGAAGAGAATAAAAGAATAAGAGGAGATCTGGATGGTACAAGCTTCAAAGTCGAATCACTGGAAAAGAGGTTTAAGAAACTGCATATCAAAGTTGAGGATAACCCAAACGACCAAAAGGCGATACAGCGGGCAACATATATTGAAACGCCAGATAAGCGTTCTCCCAGATTAGTAGCCAAGAAAAGAGGAGAAATCAAGTCTAACGAAAACAAAGAAAAAAAGAAACATGCATTGAAGCCAATTGAAGAATTAAGAAAAAGTAAGCATGCACTTGATGGAAGTGTTGGCATTCCTTTAGCAAGGAAAATACAACTGACACAACCCAAGGAAAGACGAAAATTCGAACGGAAATCAACAAAAACTTTGGAAGACATTTCAAAAATGCGATCAAAGAAACCAGTTTTACCAAAAGTTGAGGTAGAATCCGGACTTATGTTCGGTAAAGGATATAGAGAATTGCACAAAAACAGATACAAACCAACATCCACTCTAGAATTACTTTAGTATGTTTTGAATGCAGACTTGATGACTGCTGAACCCGGTACTGCACTACCCATTTTCTCTGAACCATTGAAACATAGTCTGCGATTTTCTCGTATTTATTTTGTATTTAAATTATTGAAGGATATCATCTTTCCCATATTTGTATGACTTTCAGTGTTTATCCATATAAAATACTGTAATACTTAAAAAAGCTATGCGGTTAAATTAGTTATACAATGAAGTTCATACTTGGTACAGATAGACATTTGAATAACTAGGTCTAAGATTCAGGTATGAAAAGTACAGGTTTAAAGCATAAATTGTTTGATCTGTTGGTTTTATTTTTTGCATATTTTGGTTAATGACAATCGATCGATCTAACTGGCTTCCCTGGATAACTAAATTCCTTTAAAAGCTACGCGGGCTGACAAAGTATTTCGTTAGTCTAAGTAAACGATTTTTATTGCTTCAAACAGACAACATTGCAACCGTATATTACATATTTGAGATTTGTTTGTTGTACCTCTCAGTCTTTTACCATGTTTACTGTAAGACAGCAATGCTTCATTATACTGTAAAAAATAACATATGTGAATAGAATGACAAAGCTTAATAAAATAATTACTTTTGGCTTGGCTACTATTGTTATAATTTCAACGCCGAATGCCTTTATTAAGTTTTCAGCAAGTTACGTTAAAAGTTAGTTTAATTGATATATGAACTAAACGTTTCTGGATAATGTGACAATGACAAAACATTCACTAAAGATTATTGTGAACATATTAAACGATTAACATTAACTTACAACGGGCAGTGACTGGGCGATTAACACTAACTGGACACAGGGAGTGACTTGGTGAATAATTTACATTAACTAGCCACAGGCACTGACCGTACGAATGACTTACATTAACTAGTCACAGGCAGTGATTGGGCGAATGATTTACATTAACTAGCCACAGGCAGTGACATGGTGAATGATTTACATCAACTAGCCACAGGCAGTGACTGTATGAATGATTTACATTAACTTGTCACATGCAGTGACTGGGTGAATAATTTACATTAACAAGCCCCATGCACTGAATGGGTGAATGATTTACATCAACTAGCCACAGGCAGTGACTGTACGAATGACTTACATTAACTTGTCACAGGCAGTGACTTGGTGAATACTTTACATAAACAAGCCACATGCAGTGACTGGGTGAATGATTTACATCATCTAGCCACAGGCAGTGACTGGGTGAATGATTTACATTAACAAGCCACAGGCAGTGACTGGGTGAATAATTTACATTAACAAGCCACATGCAGTGACTGAGGGAATGATTTACATTAACTAGCCACGGGCAGTGACTGTATGAATGATTTACATTAACAATTCACAGGAGGTGACTGGGCTGAGTAATTTACATTAACTAGCCACAGGCACTGACTGTACAAATGACTTACATTAACTAGTCAAAGGCAGTAACTGGGCGAATGATTTACATTAACTAGCCACAGGCAGTGACATGGTGAATGATTTACATCAACTAGTCACAGGCAGTGACATGGTGAATGATTTACCTCAACTAGTCACAGGCAGTGACTGGGTGAATGATTTACTTTTACAAGTCAGAGGCACTGACTGTACGAATGACTTACATCATCTAGCCAAGGACAGTGACTATACGAATGATTTACATTTAACTAGCAACAGGCAGTGACTGGGTGAATAATTTACATTAACAAGCCACATGCAGTGACTGGGGGAATGATTGACATTAACTAGCCACAGGCCGTGACTGTATGAATGATTTACATTAACTAGTCACAGGCAGTGACTGGTCAACTAGTCAACTACATTAACTAGTCACAGTGACAGGGGGAATTTTACATTAACTAACCACAGGCAATGACTGTACAATTGATTTACATTAACTAGTCACAGGCAGTGACTGGTCAAATGATTTACATTAACAATTCACAGGAGGTGACTTGGCAAATGATTAACATTTATTAGACAATTTATTAAAAGTGGAAAATATTAAGACCAGAGCTTCAGTCATTCTTTTATCTAAAATGTATCTTCTTATTGGTAAATCAAATAAAGAATTTGACATATCTTATTTTTAAGACTTTTATCAAAATAAAACTGGAGATGAATAAAATACATAAAATTGTCTCAAGAAACTTTATGACTTAATATAATCTATCATTTATAACATAAATATTGAAATAAATAAGGCCAATGAAAAAAAATGAAAGCAACATATTCATGCAAAATTGTTTTGGTTATTAATACATATTTATTTCAATATTTCATCAATTTTTACATTTTATACATTCAAACAATTATCACATATAACTGAAAGGGATAAGAAATAGAGAACATATATAGTTCCTCTTCATGTATAACAAATAGTATTTACACATACATATATGGCAGAATAGTTTGGGGTTTTGTTCTTATTTCAATTATAAAGAAAAGCAATATTGTATAAAGGTAAACATTTAAATAAAAGCAATTTAGAAGTAAGTACAAATGCACTGATAAAAAGACAAATATCAGTTGAATATAAAGAAAAAGAAATAATGAATTCATTTTAATATGTGTTACTGGCAGTTTAAAAGCAAATTAAACAAAAATACAGAAATTAGCTAAAGCCAGCAGACAAGAAATAAATCTAAAAAAGAAAAACTTACTGAATACCAGACAAACAATAATAGATCAAAGAGGAGACATAGCTTTGGTAAGTCAGAAGAAGAATATTGTTAAAAGTTCAATAGTAAAGAAATATATCTATTAAAACCCCCCATTGCTATTAATAAATTAAATATTGCATCGAATATGGCAGTATTAATATCGCAATGTTAGATAGATTATCTTTTGACATATCGTCCCCTTAGTGCAATAATTGATTAACTGCTATTAAATTTAGTACTTATTCCATTATGGCACTAAGGCGATGATATCTCCATTTAAAAAGAGATTCGATGCAGCATTTTGGCGTTACTGTATGAAAAAGTGTATTACTTCTCTGTATGTAGTGCAGGCAAACAAGAAAAAAGAGGTGATTGTCTTCAATATGACCACAGCTTCAGAGAGGGGAAGTAGTCAAAATATTTTGACATGCCAAAGCTAGGTTTATAAGAATCTTATACCGGCTGCCGGTACAGACTGGAATATCTAGCTCCAGGGTAACTGTTTACCGTGGTAACTAGGCTCTGCCCAATTTGATTCTTTTTCTTGCATATTACAAATTAATGATATTCTGAAAAGAATTCTCTCATTTTCCCCAGTGCATGAAAAACTTGTCTTACACCCCCTTGTAAGCCAGGCCCTGGCAGCCATTGTAAGATTCTTATATATATGGAGTAACAAGATTTTTTTTCTTTTCGTTTTTTAAAAAGAATTCTGACAGTTTGACAACCATTACAGTACTGTGCTGAATGTGAGTAATGTCAGCTCTGCTTTGAACTTAACTACATTTCGGCTAAAACATTTGAGTACAATGTATATAAGGATCTTACACCGGCTGCCGGTACAGACCGGAATATCTAGCTCGAGGGTAACTGTTTACATCGGTAACGAAGCTCTGCTCTGATTTTTTGCTACACAGTTACCGGAGTGCTAGATATTCCAGTCTGGGATCATAGCCAGTGTTTTATTATTATTATCGCAATGGGTCAAATGACTTGAGTATTTCTTCATTAAATGAATTAAAAGCATTTGTCAGCTTATTTGAACAATGCAATTATAATGTTTTGGATTTTCATATCATTTATATATACACTAGTATTTGAATTGTAAACATGGTAGCAATAATCAATAATTATTCTGAAACAAAATGTACACAGGTCAAAACATTAAAATTTGAAATAATTTTGTCCGGTCATAGCTTTTATAAGAATATTTAGGTGGCCATTAATCCACCCACTTAAATAGTTACTTAGATCTATTAATCGCACAAAAATGAAAGCTTCACTTTCACATGTTTTAAACTAATTACCTTTGTTGTATGTTGATAAGAAATAGCACATGTTTTGAACTAATAACTTATGTTGTATGTTGATAAGAAATAGCACATGTTTTAAACTAATAACGTGTTGTATGTTGATAAGAAATAGCACATGTTTTAAACTATTAACATGTTGTATGTTGATAAGAAATAGCACATGTTTTAAACTAATAACATGTTGTATGTTGATAAGAAATAGCACATGTTTTAAACTAATAACTTCTGTTGTATGTTAATAATATTTATTTCAAATTCCCCAGTCTTCACTTGATTTTTGTTCTCCCGAAACCAGCTAATGATAGATTTGTTTGCTAAGTAGCTAGTCTCAAAGTCACAATATTGATTAGGTTTAAGTGTTGTTGTTGTTGTTGCTGTTGTTCTTGTTGTCAGCATCCCTTCTGAGGTTAACATTTAAATACCCAAAACAGGAAATGCCTAAAATATGTTATTAACGACATAATATATACAGTTTATTCAAATGAATAACAACCAACTGAATCCTGATTAAATTTTATCAATTGCTTGTTGTAGCACTTCCCCTGCTGTGATTCTGAGTCACTGTCTATCCAACATTTGCATTTCAGCTAATAGATCACCATTTTTTACCAGTCTTTATTCTGGTAAATCGTGACATTATACGAGTTATGTCAGAGTATATCACTTTAAACCTATCAGCTTCTCTACAGGTGGATATAACCAATCATCTTCCTCTAATTGTTTAGCCATTTTCCTGAACTTTTTCATCCTTTTCTCATGAGCATCTGAAAACAGACAAGATTTTCCTTCTTATCAAGAACATATACTGACTAATTCTTCTTTTTTTTCTAAATAAAAATTTTATCATAGTTTATCACATACCAGTGCCAGTTTTATTACTATGTAAAAACAGTATTGCACGGCCGTGCATATATAATAATTTTGATGTGACATCATTTGCATTTGCATTATACAAAGATGGTTTAAAGAGACACCATATGATCAATAAAAAGCGGCTTATTTTGACTGTAAACAGTTCTTTGTATGTGATAAATAGAACATTATATTTGAATTGAGTAGGTTCATTACTAAATTCATTGGACTTGTTTAATAAATTCAGTATTGAACCTTTACACCTCAATGAAAATATATCATTAGTCTTACATTTATCAAAAAACATTTTCAACATTTTTCTGATACTCAATCTAGCTAAAGTAACAGTCAACCAATGTCAGGTCATGTGACAACACTGAAATTTTCAATATCATACAAGGGCAAGTAACTGCTTCAATCTTTCAACCAATTTATTCAATGATGGCCTCCCTTGTGCACATACAGTTGTGCCAGAAAAAATGTTAATATGAATTAAGTCATTTAAAGGGACTCCACTGAGGTTTTTTTGAAATGATGGGACTGGAAATATATTTTCCAGATAAATGTACCATTAATTTTGATGTAGGTTAAGACCACTAATCTATGTGCAAAATTTCAGATCTTTCGTGCACTTTGTTTTTCCAGAATAATTATTCAAATTGTAAAAAAATGACTCAAAATGAAAAGCGTTTAAATGCTTTTCACTCAAATCCGGCTAAAAAAGCATAAAAATACGATTTTCAATTTAATTCAAAGTCTATCACTGATATGTGCGCCTAAAAATTACAATAAATAATAAACTTTAGAAATTCAGTTTATGTAACATAATATAAAATAAAACAACATAATCCAATAATTCAATTAACCTTTCTGGGACTTTTTATACTGGTCATCTGTTTCATGTTCAATCTGAAGTCGATTGTTAAATGTGGTAGCATTCATATCTGAAAAATAAAATATAGCATATGATATAATGCACTGGTCAGATTTGGTGTAATCACATATTTACAATAAATATTATATGTACTGACTACTCTAAATTTTCAATTTTTGCATTAATATTATACAACAGTCTATTGAAAATTTTAACCAAGAGCCTCCATCCCCTTCTCAACCCCCTGATAGGTCAAGGTGGACAGTGTGACAAGGCAGACCAATTACCACGGTTGACCATAGATGATAGACCATCTTTTGGCACAGGGCAGACATGGACTTAGGACAAAGCCTACTATAAATTTTATATTTCTATACCTCAATTTTATATAGTCTAGAATTCATTAAAAATCAATATTAACAGAAGTTTAAACTTATGTCATATTACTATAATATAGTCTTTCTAAGTATATGTTAGTGTTCATCCGTGCTGTTCTACAGAAATTAGAAACTTCGACGGGAGCGATAGCAACAGGAGAATGTTTCTAATTTCTGTAGAACAGCTACGGATGAATACTAACATACTTAGTGTCAAACTTTATTTGGCCTCATTATTATCCACTTTATTACGTCACTACGCGGTTCTATGAAGTACTATGAAAAATAGAAGGCGACTATGAACGGAATTCGATATAGTATCGACTTTTGTTCTTCTATGAAAATTAACGCACAGAATTTTTAAGAAATACAGCGTTTTCATTGGGTGACAAATAAAGTTGGACACTAAGGCCATCCTTAAAAAAATGTTCGTTTGCAGTAACGCGACCGACTCACAAAATTTGCCCCTACTCAAATTTTTTTACATGGTCTGGATAAAAAATTATTTTTTTTGAATCAGAAAATTATGCCTTGTGTTTTGTTTTCCTTCTTTTAAAGGTTAATATAAGAAATAAAATGTAGTTCTTATTAAATTAGAATTCAGTTATCAATTTATAATTACCAGATTATCAAAGCATATATTGTCCAGCATTTTGAAATTCCATGTTTATTTGGGAGTATAGTTCAATAAAAAAAAAAAAAAAAAAAAAAATCGACCTACCTACCCACCTTGAAAATTCTGGGTCGGGTTACTGCAAACAAACATTTTTTTAAGGATGACCTAAGTCTTATTATTGAACAAAAAACTCATTGAGATCGAGTTGAATATAATTGTGTAAATTTAAGAGGTGCTTTAAGGCACCATTTAGAATTTGTTAGCGCAGTAGGAGCAGACTATGGTACACTTCTGACCAAGTGGGCAAAACTGCTGCAAAATAAATAAAAGTGTTGCTGAACTACAAGCTGCTATCAGCTTCATTATCTTAGAAGACAAGCCACTAGGCATCCATATGTCTGGAATATTTTTTCTTGTGTTAGACACAAGTACAGACAATGCAAACAAACAAGAAACAACCTATAAAAGTATAAGGAATGACCAGTACATAGCTGAAGAAAGACTTTATCACAGGGCTCGCGCCGGCAGGAGCCAATGATCACATTGGCTCCAAAATAATTAAATTGCCTCAAGAAAATCACGAATGGCTCAAAAGTATGACTTTTGGAATCTCCAGTCTAAATTTAGCATAATTTGCATTTTTAAGAATGGAAAAGTACACATTTGGTTTTCCATCTACAACTTCTGATAATCACTTATAAATATGATATATTCTAATGGTGACAGGTCTACATCGCCTTCACAGTCTGCCTTTTCTCAACATACAGTTCAGAACTATCCTGGTATATGGTCCCCTTATGTATAATGAGTTCTACTGTTATAAGGGGAAGTCAAAGACCGGGCCCGCGAAGCGGGTCCGGGCTTTGGCTTGCCCGGCTATAGACTACACGTGTATATTTTAAAGAAAATCAAATAAAAAACAATTAAAAAATATATAGAATTCTATACCTATCAATGAAATTTTCAGTGTCAGTTCTAGTCGGGCGCCGCCATTTACAATGTAACTCAATGATAAAAGGCGGGGTATTCCGATAACGGAACAAATCTCAACTTTTCGGATCAATAATAAATGTCGAGTGTTCCGAGTGAAAACGGAAGCGGTGCATGTAATACCGAATGACAATTTTAAAACGGAAAGAATGAAAGGAATTTTTTAACGACTTCCCCGTTTATAGGCTTTGCCTAATTTCATATTATTTATCAGTATCACTGCACAGTTAACTGTAAGTTGAAACTTTTCTTTAATACTGATAAACAGCTGGTAAATGTACCACCCTTTTAAACATAAGTTTCTGTTTTAAACAATTGTTAAAACGTAAATTAAAATAAGAAAAATACGGGAGCACAAATGTTTCCATATAATAAAGTTATTAATTCATTCATCATGTTGGTTTAATTTACAGAATCTCCAACGTCATATATCCGAAATATTCCATTATCCGATTACTATTAAAGTAAACTAAAAACTTTAATTATAAATACCTGTTGTTTCGTTCGCATTAACACATGGAGACGTAAATAAAGCCTTTTTGATATCTACCAAATCAAATCCACTTGCCATTCTTAAAAGAAATTATTGTAGGACTAGGTCAAGATTTCAGATTTTTTCAGTAGTTGTTGTTGTTGTTGTTTACACGGTGCATTAAAACTTAATTTCATGTCATTCATGCATAAGGTCATAAACCACTATTTCTACAAAAACTCGTTACTCGTGCATTATTTGAGTGAAATGAGTTCCAAAACATTCTGAATTGCAATAAACACTGACATGTCATTGAGCATTATATAAAAGTCGCTAGACATGTGTATATTTATCTTTTATTATTCAATTTTGTGTGAGAGTGATTTTACCCTTATTGATCACTAAATGTAGGCAATTACTAAGAGGATATTTTTTCGTTTGAGTGAAATATAGGATATATTTTCACGAAACATGATAAAATGCCACATATTTTCACGAGCCGGGACGGCGAGTGAAAATATTTGGCATTTTATCATGTTAAGTGAAAATATATACCATATTTCACGAAAAATGAAAAAATAACCTTTTTATTTAATTTTATTATCAAAGAAAAAAAGTTACGAACCCCATTGCTTGCTATGCAACGGCAATTGTACAGCGCGTAAAAATATAATTATTGTCTTGTTTTTGCACGCGATATTTAGCGCTAGATTGTGACGTCACGTAAACAACTCTTCAAACGTCTGTAAAGCGTTTATGACTGAATAAAAGATATTGGTGTTCGGATTAATTTTCTTAGTTAGACCATTTTCTATCATTCTAGACCGTTTTCAAAACAAAATTCAACAAAACGTTGTTTTGTATTTATCAGATTTTTCAAACAAAATTGGCGAAAGAAGTCCCCCAAAATAAATATGAGTTTTGACTCCGCCTACTTTCATATTTATATTTCATATTTATTTTTAAAAAATATGAAATATATATGACTGATATAGCACCATATTTCATGGGTAAAATTAAATAAGAGATTGTTATTGTACTGTAGCCTGGGATTCAGGCGTTGATATTTTTTGCTTATTTATAGCATACGCGCTATTTCATACTCGATCGTCATAGATAACGCACAACATTTCTGGTTTTGATAGTATCGATTTGCCGAACAGAAGCACATAAAAAGTCAACAGACTGGAACACAGGCTAATTGTACTGATAATTTAGATCTAACTCTCAACGGTTATTTATATATAACGAAACATTTTTCATAAAACTTTAAAGAAATGTAAGCAATAAAGCACATGATAGGACTTATGAGGACTTCAACCAAGTACAAAATGCTTTGAAATTCTTAAAGTATAAGTAATATTCGGAGCAAATGGCTTGTGTCTCTTTTATATTTGATTTCGCACAACTAAAAAAACTACACTTCAGCACTCGATGTTACTCAATGTTTCTATAATATAATATTTATTCCGACTGGGACTTAATATGATGTCCCAGATTCTGAATATAGAATTTGAATACCCCCCCCCCCCCCCATAAAAAAAAATAATAAATAAATAAATAAAAATAAAAAACAAATAAATAAATAGAAATCATGTTCACTTAATGAAGGAACAAAATTGCAAATTAATAAAAAAAAATCAACATGGACTCCACACTTTTTAAATTGCTTTCTTTTATCTGTTTATCAAATACCATAAGGTTATTGTTCTACATTTTGTATATGCATAGTATCTATCTGGAAAAAAAAACAAGAAATTTAACGTTCTGAAACATGGCATTGCAATTATATATGTATAGTAAAAAGTAGACAAAAATACACAAAATTTATCTTATGTGATGGGATAATTGATTATTGACTCGTTCCCGTATTTAATTTTAAAAGAACTTATTTCCAAAAAAAATTCTCGCAGCAATGAAATATTTATCATATATATATTTCCTTTGATTGCGTATGACGTCATATTTTTGTCGGCTTTTCAATTTTCATTTGTAACGTTACATTTATTTATTTTCGCAAATTTGGTAAATGACCTTAGGTAGATTTGCGATGTAAGTCAGTCTATTGACAACGTCTTTTATTGATGTATAATAACTTTGTCACTTTTAGTACTAAATTACATACTTGTCTTTCAATCACCCTCTTCAAATACGGGAACGAGTCAATTATCTTTATTGACAATGATGATAACAAACAATCCAATTTGAAGAGTATAAACGCAGCTTTGTGCAGATGAAACGTTTTTGAATCACAGCTATATCGTTAACTCTGTAAGTTAAACTTAAACTGACCTCGACGAGTTTCTGCCGGAGAGTCAAAAATCTATAAGCTTGCCTTTCCACTCTAAAGCGTTTATTTTCTTTAGGCTTCATACATATTACGGCTGGTCATTTGTTTAGAACTTTGAGTAAATATAAGCTAATTTATTCAGCAAATGGTTTTTTTAGCGTTATGTGAAATATCTCAAATAGAGACAATAAACAGGTACAAAAATCTAAAGCGTTATATGTAAACTCAATGTTCTATATTCCTGTACTGACTATTTAATTTACGCTAAGGGGCGTCCGTGGCCGAGTGGTTAAGGTCGTTGACTTTAAACCACTTACCCCTCACCGCTGTGGGTTCGAATCCCGACAGGGACTTTGGATTCTTTCATGTGAGGAAGCTATCCAGCTAGCTTACGGAACGTCGGTGGTTCTACTCAGGTGCCCGTTCATGCCTGAAATAATGCAAGGAAGGGCACCTGAGGTCTTCCTCCACCAGTAAAGCTGGAACGTCGCCAAATGACCTATACTGTGTCGGTGCGACGTAAAACCCAAAAAACAAACAAACAAATAATTTACGCTTGGATTTTGAAAATCTATATTGTATTTTAAAAGAAAACCAAACAATGATCGAAGACTTTAACTGAAATCATTAGGATTTATTATTTATATATCTGGTTAAATCTAATGTCTCCAATATTTTTTCTAATTGTCTTCACTAGTTACGTTGTATTTGGCTTCAATCAACACTCTTCTTGAAATCTAAGAGCCCATTATAAAGTTTGTAAATATTTCATAATTGAACAAATATGAACAAGTTTTTAAAATATTTCTAATAATAAATTAACCGATATCATGGCGGATGTACTTGTATTCCCACTTTAGTTTTTAACATACTTTTGCTCCTCTTTTCATTTATTTCCAGACTGCTTCGAGAATAATCAATATTTTATTCTGTTTATAAATAAGCTGCTCACGAGCGCACGTGCGTCTGTACTGTTAATTTAACACTTCTAGTATGGCAAGGATAATAACCGAGTGTTCTCATCAAAGGAATCTGGTGATTTCGGTAATACAAATATTTACGACTGAACATTTGCCGTTATTTACAGGGTAAAGTGACAATACATTTACAACTTCATCATTACATTCTTTGTTGTGTAATTTGATTTTATAACAGCTTTCGTCAAAGTCTCTTGCTTGAGAGATGTCGCGAGTTTTGCGTTAAGACGGATAGCGATTTATATACATGTGAAGGAAGACATCGTCTGCAACTGATAAATAAATGGAATATTCATACGAACATTTGTAACATAAACAGACATATTTTCTGTTAACAATGAAGAGACTAGAGGGTAATAGTTTCAGAATATCATGTATAAAAAATGAGCGCTAAATGATATGGTTTATAAAAAAAACTTCCTTAAAGATTTCCTCGTAAAATAACTTTGTCGGTTACCCAAGGAGAAATAAAGTATATTTCTGGAGGATATCTAACTGTGCGCATGGAATTCAATTGTGAAAATAGATGTTAGAATAAATAAATAAATATATTAAAGATTTTTGGAAGCTGTTTCTGCAGTGACAGGCATACGATATTAAAGCAATTACACATGGATAACGGGACAACATTCGAATGGAAAAACTGTGCAGACGAGAATGCATTTATTATATTTTCGTACGTTTTATTTTCGGTGATTTTCTTCCCGACCATATTTGGAAATATACTCATTATTGTGAGCATTTGTAAGTTTCGGCATCTCCGCTCCAATATGCACATTTTGATAGGAAATTTAGCAGTCTCAGACCTAATTATTGCTGTGTCAATAATCTTGCAGGTTGTTGGAAACTTCCGGGAAGAGTTAGTAACAAATAAATATTTTTGTCTGGGACAGAATGCAGTATTTGTGATTTCATTAGGAACATCGTCTTACAATATGCTGACAATATCTATAGAAAGATTCCTGGCGGTGAAATTTCCTTTAAAACATAGAATTATGTTTACAAGACGCACTAGCTACATTTTGATTATTGTTTGTTGGAGTTACCATTCCCTTTTTGCGTCGTTGCCCCTACTGGGCTGGAATAATTTCCACGATGATGTTTTAGTATGTGACACCGATTTAGTCTGGACAAGGGAGTATGACATTATACTCTTTGCCGGACTTTTAATAGTTGTTATTGTAAATGGATTACTGTGCGGATACATGATGAAAATAATTGTGGAAAAAGGAAAAATAGTTCGATACAATTCATCCGATTCTTTCAAAAATCAAAGGATTCTTGGAAATTTCAAAAGAACTAAAATGACCTTGATAATTTTTGGCGTGTTTGCATTAAGTTGGACGCCATATTTGATAGTGTCGTTGATCCTGTCATTTGAAAATAAACCCGCTATAAGATGTAGTAGACAGTGGTGTATATGTCTTGGGATCATTAATTCTGCAACAAACTGGATAATATACGGGCTTGCCAACAGAAGTTTCAGAGAAGCATTCAAGGCAGTTCTTAAGGGTCGCCGCCTTGTTCATTTTAGAGGATCATTGTCTAATCTGTAGATAACACTGGCGGCTTTCATTGATACGTAATAAAACAAGAGCTGTCAGAAGGACAGCGCGCTCGACTTTTTTAGTGCTTGCCTATAAAACAAAACTTTGACAGTTAAGGGCACACAAGACTTTAACTAGGAATTTCTAAGTACAAATCAAGAAACATTTTCACAGAGTTATCTTCTCTTGCTTACAGATAGGTCTCATGATGGCACATAAGAACTCCAACTTCCAAAGTAATATCTCAAATGGTTAGGTCAACAAGTGGACAAGAATGAAAATTTTAACTGAGTTTCTAAGTCAAAAAGGGCCATAATTCAAATAAAATCCTTAACAGAATTACCTTCTCCTGCCCATGTTTGGGACCATGATGGTAAACAAGTATTCCAACTTTCAATTTAATATCTCAACCAGTTCAGTCAAAAAGTTGACTGGTACAAAAAACTTAACCAAGATTCTAAGTCGATAAAAGGCCTTAATTTTTAAAACAAATCCCTGACAGAGTTACCTTCTCTTGCGTACAGATGGGGGTAATGATGTGAAATAGCATTAAAAGTTTCAAAGCAATATCTCAAAGGGTTAAGGCAATAAGTGGATTTTACCCATATTCAATGTATTTTCTAAGTCAAAAAGGGGCATAATTCTGTCAAAAAACCTTGACAGAGTTATGTCCTCTTGTCTGTTGATGAAGGTCGTGATGGTAAACAAGTATGGTCAGTTTCAAAGCAATACCTCCAATGGTTTTGAAATAAAGTGAGGTGGTACAAAAACTTAACCAAGCTCAATACACTTTCTAAGTCAAAAAAGGGGCCATAATTCTGTCAAAAACCTTGACAGAGTTATGTACTCTTGTCTGTAGATGGAGGTTATGATGGTGAACAAGTATGGTAAGTTTCAAAGCCATACTTGTAATACTTCTGAAATAAAGTGGGGTGGTACGAAAAACTTAACCAAGGTGTGACGCCAACGCTAACGCCGACGCCGACGCCGACGCCGGGGCGAGTAGGATAGCTCCCCTTTTCATAGAAAAGTCGAGCTAAAAAACTACATGTATTCTTTAAACAAAAAGTTCATGATATTCTTTACAAGTCAAATAATGAAGCATTTATAAATTACTGTGACAAAATTAGTATACTTACAATCAATGCTTTTGTTTGCAAAATGTTTTATAATATTGAGTCATGCCAGTTCTTATCAAAACAACCATATTGAGTCAGCCTTGTTAGTTTCTTAGTTTATTTAAAGTCCGTATTGGAAAATGTTATCGTGTGACACAAAATGATATCATAATATTGGGAGCATTGCAAAATTTATGAACAAGATACTTTTATCGAGGAGCTTTAAAATGAAATAAAATAAATGCAATTTCACAGGAAATTAAATTAACCCTTTCATTTATATAGAAATGCTGTCAAATTATGTGTTCCTTACCATTTGCACTCAATCGTCTGCAATGATTTCTCTCGAAATAATTTCCGCTATGTAATACAAAATGTGCAATCGTTGTATCTCAGCGCTGCAAACTTCGAGGTGATTTCATCACTATACTGTAGATATACATGTTTATATGTCATATTGCTCTCACCATCCTCCCATCTCTTATGCCCAACCCCTGACCCACCCCACCCCTGTGTGTGAGGCAGCTTACAAATGTCTGTTATATAAGAGTTTTCATCCATGATTTATGATTATTAGATAATAGCATTTGATTTATTTGTATTTTCGGTATTGTCTTCAAATACCTTTGTAAATAATAAATTATCAAATATCGGTACATAATTAAAAAGTATAATATTCATTTCCTTAATTCGTTTTATTTAGATTTATCGCGTGCACACAACACATGTAAGTTCACGCCCTTCCACGTAAGGCGGACACTTCAGAGATCCGCAGACGCCTTCTACAAAATAAAACAGGCGACCATTTTTGTTGTCATGACCCCCAATGATGCATCTGGTCTAAAATTAAAACCCTATCAAAATTAGCGCATGCCCAGCTTTTGGGACCTAGATCCCGCTTTTCCCTTTGTCCACCCTGGTAACAGTCAAGGCGCCCCGGGAAATATCGGATTTCCGGTTTGGGAACGAAGACGGAAAGGGAAAAGGCCCTATCAAAAAAATGTTCACCCCCTAAAAAAGCTAACCTCGTGAGGCTGCTGTCAAATGTATTCCACCCATAATTTTTACCCCCTGTGACGTTCCATATCATAGTGCGCCCACGGGGGTCTAAATGGAAAAAAGATTAAATTTTGAAGCCCCGCCGAGAGACGTAATTGAACCAGCAGAATACCCTTAAATATAAAGCGTAAATATTTTTTAAATGAATGCTCCTTTTTCCCTTTTAAAACCCCCATAGGGAAGGTTACAGTATCGCGCTTTCCGGTTACTGTATATAATTTTCAAGATGGAGGATTTTTTGTGGGTAAGACAGGTAGGTGATTTTATACTGGTCCATACTACAAGTAGTTTTGTTTCTAAAAGATGTTTTTGTAATTTAAGGAACTGGATCAGGTATCTAGTCATATATTTCTTCAGACCCTGCACCGCAGTTTTATCTCTATATTGTCTCATAAATGCGCTGATTTGACAGATTGAAAATTTGAATCGAGATACCAACGCATTTTTCTCCAATTCCGACATTATTTAAGCATGTCTACAAAAAGTAATCCTACAAAACGTTAGACCTCTGTGTTTAGAAACGTTTATAAAATTAAATGACCAGTTGAACCTGTTTTCTTGTTCGTCAAAATAAACAATGTTACAGTATAGAGCGGGGTGAATTGTGCAGACCTAGCGATACCCATGGCAGATTTCGGTTACAGTTTAGACCTCGGTATTTTTTCTATATATACTAGGTAAAATGTATAAATGATATTATAGACTTTTTAATCTAAGCTTATTGGCCCGATGACTATTCGTCCGTCTGCCGTACACATGTGTGTTCAATGACATCCGCTCAGTAACTACTTGGCCAGATTTGATGAAATGCACATGCATTTCTACCAAAGTTGTTCATATGGTTTCGGTTGCAATCTTGGGTACGAAAACCAAAAATATAGGTTTTTAAAAAAGGCAATATAAATCATTCTTCTTCCGAACCAAAAGCATTCGCTGTGAAGCATTTTGCAAAGAAAGATCAAATCATGACCCTGGCGTGATTTCGAATGCTTCCTTGTTGAAATGGGAATTATTTTGTCATTGTTGAATTAAAAGTCATTTTTTTATTTCAGACATTCTGTATGGAAGTTTTCATGTTTCTGAAATGGAAAATAATATTGAAAGATATCGAGCAAAAAAGGTCAGACAATTACAATATATTTTCCATAGAGCCTGATGGAGGTACAAAATAGTGGCAGAGTCGGGTTAAGGTCGCCAACTTCAAATCATCTTTCTTTTACTGCTGTGGATGACGTTGGATTCCTTGTATGCTAGTTTACGGAAGGTCGGTGGCTATAGTCAGGTGCCCGCTTTTGTCTGAAATGTTTCCCAAAGGATTAATATACAGTAAAGCAGGAATGTTTTCACATGACCTTAATATCGGTGAAAAAAAAGTAACCACCCTTTTTAAATACTTAAAATGACTTAAGGTTGCAGTATTTCTCACTTGATTACTGTTTAATCACCCTTAAGTTAGGGTATGTTTCCTGCTTTTTAATTGTGTCTTTTGACAGCTTATCTGTGGTATGCAGGCTTCATAACCTCAGATCCCCTTTCAAAAATTATATTGTGTTTTCATTTAGGGCACACGCAATTTTCAATCTTTGGGATAATATGCCGCTTTTCATGAAATGGCACTAATGTGTCCAAATCAAGGTTCCATGATAGGCCCCATATTAACACATCTAAAGATGTTAAAATAATTCTTAAGTTTACCAGTTCATGTTAAATTCTGCTTTAGCTGGTAGTAGGAGGCGTGGACGGTAGCTTGCAGTTATGGACAGGCTCAAACAAATCGAGTCTGCAACATTTTCAATTTTGCTGTGTTGTACTTTCCTTTTCTCTATTTTAAAACTAAATTAAATATGCATTTCAAACTGTAACTTTTCTGCTGAAGAAAAATGGCAATAACATAACTTTCAAGAATATATTAATTAAATAGAAAGGTATGGGTTATTTTATAAAAATAATGGATTCACAAACTTTATTTGAAATTTGGCAAGTATCTAAACTGTAACCGAAATATGGGTATATACTGTAACAAAATCAAATCAAAGTCGCTCGGTCTATACTGTAACCTTGCAAAACTCACCTCGCTGTATACTGTAACATTGTTTATTTTCAAACGCATTTAACGTTCAACTGGTCATTTACTTTTATAAACGTTTCTAAACACAAAAGACTAACGTTTTGTAGGATTATTTTTGTAGACATGCTTAAATAATGTCGGAATTGGAAAAAAGTGCGTTGGTCTCTCGACTCAAATTTTCAAACTGCGAAATCTGCATATTTATGAGGAAATATAAAGACAAATCTGCGGTGTAGGGTCTGAAGAATATATGACTAGATACCGGATCCAGTTCCTTACAAGCAAAGCACAAGCACATCCTTTAGAAACTGAACTACTTGTAGTATGGACCGGAATAAAAATCAAACCATCTTGAAAAATTCTATACTGTTACCAGAAAGCGCGATACTGTAACACGTTCCCTACGGTGTGAATAGGGCGATGAAGAAAAACATATAATGTTTAATATATGAATGCAAGTCTTGAATTATTGACAGCGATAATCATACTTGTATAGTGCTATTGTTTACGATATCTTGTTTGTTGTTTGTTTTATCTACGAATTACTTCATATACTTAGTATTTTTTACCATCTTAATGGATTACCTGTATTAGATAGAGGTTGTGCGTTTTTCCTGGACAAGAAAATTTTCCCCATCGGACATATATACTTCCCGCTCCATTACCTGTTAAAGAAAAAGAACATTTTGTCCATTCTCCACTTTACGTCAAATAGTTAGTGGGTGGTAAAGGTGACAAAACCAACATAATGCTTTTGCGACCAGCATGGATCCAGACCATCGGCCTTCGTGATTATATTACTACGCATTTGAACTCAAACCGTGCATTATTCTTGCATATCAGACAGGATTATCTTCCGTTTACTACGGTGCTAGAATATATAGGATATTGAATGAGTGTAAGTTCAATATCTTTTTGAACGATTTGTCAGAATTTGTATCTAATAAATATACAGGACTTG